TAGACATGAAATATGACGCTGCGCATGCGCAATAATTACATCACGCTGACCTCTGAACTGGACTAGGAGTGCAGTCACGATCCTGCACGTAAACAACCGTGCACCGGGCCACCGGCATAAAAGGACAGTCCTTATTCACTCGCGTCTAGTGTAGCTATCTACTTGTGCACAGTTTGTTCCTGACAAGGCGATAGATCAACCATTGAAATGGACCTGGAGGTTTTACCGGTGAGTTTCCCATGCGCAATTAGCTTCCCGCGCCCAAATTCGTTAGCGCAGTGACGAGAGGGGCTGGTAAGAAGATGGTTGTCTTCCTGCATGCAAAATGCAAATTTTTCCCCGAATGTGCGAAAGTTTGTGTTGCTGTCACTACATTTATGCCAAGTTGTAGTGAAAGTCTGTGCCGGGCTTTTCTCTATTTGGGGGAGTCTTACGTTTCAGTTTCACACCACCGTCTTTATAGAGCGGGCTAAAGACAGTTGTCTCAGAGAAGGGAGGACTGGAAGTGAGGATATACTACCTCGAATGTCTGGCTCAAGCCACCTACATCATCTCCCACGAGGGAGCTGCCTTCATTGTGGACCCAAGGAGAGATGTTGACGTGTATATCAAGGTACATATATTATACTTGGCTAGATATCTACTTGTCCAAGAGGGAATGGGAAGCACAGCTACTGCACTGGACTGTGTGAAGTGAAATAGGTTTGATAGTATAGAATCCTTTGCAGCATATCTTTCAACATGAACACACTGCAAGATTTTACTCACCTTTGAAGAGGTTTATTAATTGCTGTTTATTCTAGGATTTGGCAGAGCATAAGTTGAAACTGAAAGGGATTTTGGAGACCCACTTCCATGCAGACTTTGTTTCAGGTGAGCTTCCATCCATAGCTACAATAGATGCAGTAAATTAAAAGACATATTAACCAGACTGTGTTTTGTGCATTTGAATCCATATGCATCCCACCCAGTGTGCTAGCTCTTTTTTTGAAGGCACTGGGTATATTATAATCATTGCTGGCATGTTACTGTGTGTAGGTCACTGTGAGTTGGCCAGGAGAACAGGAGCAACCATATACTTTGGACCTGGAGCTGCCAGTAGAACACAGTTTACCATCCACGAGATGAAGGATGGAGAGGTGGGTGGTGGCTATTCATATTCCAGTGGCTATATAATTGTAGGCTCTTATTTGAAGGAATCACTAGACAGCATTTTTGCACCCAAAGATAACTAGAATGTTGGTTTGAATCACGTTAATTGTTACAGTCATGGCGATTCTGTATGTACAGTGTAGGCCAAAGAAATTAGATAGAAACAACTCTCATCAGAGAGTAAGTTTACTCCTGTGTGTGTATTACTGCTACACTACCATATTTATTGTCATTCTACCCAGAGGTGTAGCTATGTATTATACTGAGCACAAAGGGAGTTGTATTAGAGTCTCATTGCTAACACTGTTTGTGTATATCACGCTGTAGGTGATAGAGTTATCATCTCGCTATGCTATAAGAGCAATACACACCCCAGGCCACACCCCCGAGTCAGTCGTATATCTCATACAGGAGGGAGATAAACCACTCAAGGTATAATACTATTACATAGGTATTATATACTAGCAGAAAACCTGCAATACACCAAGCTGTTATCATTGCCTTGTGCTGTTTCAATATGTAATCTCAGATTGGGGCTGTATTAATGTTGCTCCTTGTTTACTGAGTATAATCTCCTCTTAATTGATGAATCAAAGCAATAATACACTAAGTAGGGGCTTCTCTGTTTGATTCACAATCAACTCACTATGTCACTAAGTGTGTCATTCTCTGTGTATATATAGGCCTTCACGGGAGACACACTGATGATAGGGTCGTGCGGTCGTCCGGATCTGGTGGGGTCAATAGGTCACACTGCTGACCAAATGGCTCGTCTGATGTACAACTCTCTGTGGAAGAAACTGGCCGTCTTACCAGACAGTGTTCAGGTCAACCTCAACTTCTGTCTCTTTATATACTAGTCCATTGCTATACAAGAAATATATGGCGAGCGAACACGTAGATGTACTCTGCGTAATGTTCATGCATGCACAATACTCTGTGTATGTATGTAGTAGGATTATCATTCGCGACTTCGCGACTTATAGACTTTATCGGCTGATTACAGTTACATTGCGATAACTGCTTCACTTGCCAATACTATAGCTAGCAAACTTAGTCAATGTTAGAGAGTCTTTTTCGCCATATTGATCATAAAGAAAAACTTCTCCATGTATAGTATTATCGTCACTATTACGTTGTTCTAATATACAGATATTCCCAGCACACGGGGCTGGATCTCCATGTGGTAAAAACCTCGGCTCTGCTCTCTACTGTACCATTGGAACACAGAAACTCACCAACCCTGCATTCCACTACCAGAACGTGAGGGATTACAGCATGTATGCCTCACTCATGAGCAGCATTCACACTTGCTGGCATGGATTTGGATTGATGCACATTAAGGCTTGTGTCTATGTCAATGGATCTCAATTCAGGTCAACCCAAATCAACACGCTAATCTGGGTTTGGTGGTCTGAAAGCAGGTGCAACACTGTTCCTATAGAACCCCCGTACTCCACACACCAAGGGGCAGATTAAAGTGTCTATATTAGTGAGGTGTCCTTATATTTCAGGGGTTACATTGCACAAACAAATAGGGTCAGATTCAACATCTGTCTCATAATGTTCATGCATGCACAATGCTCTGTGTATGTATGTAGTAGGATTAATCATTCGCGGCTTCGCGACATATAGACTTTATCGGCTGATTACAGTTGTATAAAAGAACGTTTTTTTGGGAGAGAGGTGTCCTCGTTTTAATTTCCACTGTTGTTTAGGAAGATGAGTTTGTGGAGTTTTTGACTGCAGACCAGCCAGTGGCTCCTCAGTACTTCCCTCACACTGCCACCAAGAACTGGGTCAGTTTTGGACTTGTTCGTGCTTGTGGGAGTGGCAATAACAAATGGGATACTGCATGCATGTGCATGTATGTTGTAGCTCGTTATATTGGGTGGGTCAAATTTTAGATACTTCTTATGTTTCCCAGGGCCTATATATGTGCGTACAGGACCTGTGTGGGTATAAAGTATCTAGCTATGTATTTGTACCAGAGTGTCTGTCAATTTATCCCTCCAAACTATACTGCATACAGGGGGTGCTTAGCTAAGTATAGCTTGCCTACCTATGTACATATGTAGGTGGGAGTGGAAGATGTAGCAGAGGAGCTGTCCAGAGTCCCGTATCTCTCACCAGCCGAGTTCCACAACCTCCTGGGTTCTGGTAGAGAATACACCGTCATTGACACCAGAAAGGTACATACAGTCAATGACACACTGAATACAACACTTTATAAAAGCTTGGGTTGGACTAGAACCCACATCTTGCTCAGTAGGGAGAATGTGCAAATGAGATACTCTGGATTTCTTCCGTTTTCCTTTTGTGCGGCTTTGCATAATATCTTCTTTATGAGTGAGGTGTTGTAATATGTTGTGTCGTGTAATTGCAGCCGAAGGATTTCTTTGCTGGTCACATTGCTGGTTCTCTGAGTTTCTCTCTCGGAGGAGCCGGAGGAGCTGTGGTGGGGGCTGAGGATGGAAACTTTGCCATCTGGGTGAGGATTTCCTGTGTGGACACTCAGAGCTCCCAGTGAATGGGAAACTGTATGCAGTGTAGCTACTTCCTCTAATCCAGATACCAGTGGGACAGAAGAAGTGCCCATTTTAGTACAGTGTCCTTTTTAAGGTGTTTCGTTGCATGCAAAAACTGTTCTCAGGGAAAGCAAAGGTGTCTTTTTAGAGAGAGATGTCATCATATGTAACTAGGGTGTCCCAGAGGGGTTCTACCGTTATTATCCAACGGATATACTAAGGCACAACAAGTATAGGATGAAGAATAGTTACACAAAGAGAGAGATTAACAACCATTTTCTACGTGTGTGCATAGGTTGGAACATTGGTGTCCAGTTCAGCTGAGTTGCTGATAGTAGCAGAGAGTGGTAGGGAGGGAGAGACACTGCAGAGACTCTCCAGGATTGCCTTTACCAATGTGAGAACAACACCGTGATTTCTACTATGTGTGTATATACGTGTTTAGGATCTGTTACAACAAATATAGAATTCAATATGTGGGGGCAGTTGTAGACATCTCTTTTTTTCGATGTGCCATCCTTCACTGCTTTTGCCATAAAACTTTGAAAGGGAAGACTTTTGCGAATAAAACCTTTTGTAGACTGCTTGTCCAGTTTTAGTCTCCGCCAAAAGATAAACAACCCCCACTATAGGGAGTTATAAAAGGTGGATATATATTACTCAGGTGAAGGGGGTACTGAAGGGGGGAATTGATGCCTACAAAGATGCTGGATTCGCACTCGAGTTCTTTCAACGAATTGATCTGGTGAGCAATAGTACCTCGAGGCAGCGGTGTTGAGTTTTTACCTATACAGTGAATCCTCCGAATAATGGACACGTTAAGACTCCGTTTAAGGGAAGTTTTCTCTTTTGTGGTAAAAATGAATATTTGGGACCTCAAAGTGTGTCTTTCAGTGTCGAGTGTTGTGTCATTTATTTGGAGGAGTGTTCTTTATCGGGAGGTTCTTACTGTATATAATACCTACAATCCAAAATGTAAGTGTTGGTTACTCCTCTACCCAGAGAGAGCCAGAGACATCACTAGAGAGCCTGCTTGCTTCAGGTCACAGACTCATTGATGTCAGAACTGAGACTGAATATAATGGAAACACTGCTACTTCTGCCACTAACATGCCTCTGGCCACTCTACCCACACAACTAGACAAGCTGGATAGGTAAGTGCTATGTAGCTTCCTTTTTAACTATGCTGATGACGTTAAACTACTCCTGTTGCCAAGAAATAATCAAAGCTGCATTCTACTCTAAAGCTGAAGCACAAGACCTTCATGCATGTAAAATTGATAGATTCACTGTCCAATCGGGCAAAGCTATTGTCAATTTGTCTCCTATCTCCCTTTTTTCCTATTCCTCATCCTTGGCCTTCAAGCATGTAGAATTCACATACTACTGTCCAACAGGTGTACATGGACAAAGCTATTGTCATACAAAACCCCTTCTTCTTTTCTCTCTCCCTTTCCCATCTCTCTCCCTTTTCCGTATCTCTCCCTTCTGTTCCAGGTCTGTGGACTATGTGGCATTCTGTGTGTCGGGCTACAGGTCAGCCATAGCAACGTCACTGCTGAGAAAGGCAGGTTTCAGGGTTCGAGACATCTTTGGTGGATTTGCAGCCATCAACTGGACTGCACCATCTCACACCACCTCCGGAGCAGTAAGTTGGCTATGTATATATCACAAACACTGTGTGTTGGAGTATATAGAGGTTGGCTCCAGCTAGATGGTAAGTGTAGTGTATAGGTTGACTAGAATCACAAGTGCTGCGCTCAACTTAGCCTTTTTAAACTCATCGTGCCAGAGAGAGAAGTTGTGGTATGCTCTGCTGATGAGGGCCAACAAGCCCGAAACAGTTGTCCAGAGCTCCACATCTTTTTTCTCTTGGCATCACATGGTGTAATTTGTTCATGAGGGAATTCTAGAACTGTTTATGAGCCCTTTAGGCCCAGATAATAATGTGTGTTTAAAGGCTTAGCTATATACCAAGTTTGGAGGCTCTATGTACTCTATGCATGGATCACATAAGATTTAACCTGTTCTATAGGTATATATATTGTACTTGTGCTGTGATACTTTCTGCCCTGAATGTAAGCTTATGTTGAACTAAAACATTTTGCTTTCAGGTGTGTCCACGAATGAAAGAGATAGCAGACTCTCTGTTTAAGTAGTATGCAAGATCACATGACTCTATACTGTATAATATTGTTCATGATGTTAAAACGTTTCAGGTATTTATGTTACACAATTTTGTTAAATTCATCATCAGTTGGGGCAGGAATCTTGGTGCAATAGTAATCAGTTAACAGAAATAGCCTGTTGCAATAGACGTCTCTGTTTCATGCTGATATTACACTGTTCCTGAAATGTTTTGTGGAATGCACGACGAAAATATTCAGCCAAGGCAGATGAAGGGCAGGTTTTATCACGAGAGGAGAGTTTAATAGCTTTTGTAGCAAGTTCTACTGTTTGCTAAACTCAATTATGTTTCTGAACGTCGTGTACAGAGAAGGCTCACCCTCCCTTCGATCAATAGTAATGGCAAGAAAACCTTTTAAAGAACGCTAACTTCACTGCTAGTTTCCTACCAAATTGCATGAAACCCCCCGATAAAGAACAATAGCTGAAAAATTGAATGCACCAGCACATTTTGTGTTTGTGCTTCCAGCACATAATATAGAATTATGGTAAACAGTACAAATGGTAGATAAGGGTATAGCGAGTGCACACACTCACACAAGGTTATAAATAATTACAAAAGGTGTTTGGTGGTCGGTAGCTATACATCACACAAAGGCAACAAGTAGTAGAGCAAAGAAGAGCAGAGTAAGAGACACTGCAGAACCTGCTGCAGAATTCCCCTCCCCGGTTCCCTGTGGGATATACAAAGACTAATGATAGCGCAAGTATAAATGCAGGTGTTTCCTGGAAAACGGCCATAAAAGATGATGCCTTGGTGTGTTGTGCTTCATCCTTTCTTCCTATTGCAATACAGTTTGCGTGCCGTCATAAAATGTGTGCACTTCTGCTATGTCAGATGTCAGAAGACAAACAACACCACTATAGTCATGATAGCAAGGCTATATATCTACTTTTCTGGAAGCTTGAAGTGCTCATTTTCCCACTAAATGTCTCCAGATTCAACGGAGATGTGCATGGCCCCCAAGCGATTGTTTCTTTCTTGTTGCACATCATTGTACAGTGTTTCTCTTCCGTGGTAGACACTGAACGATGCCATTTGGTAGCACAACACACTTAGTGCTTATGTTAACTGGTGGGTGTGGTCTCACCTCTGCACCCTCTGGAGCCACTGAGGTGAAGGCACTTGATTGCAAGAAGGCAGCCACTGGGTCATCATTAGCGGCCAGAGTAGCCGCTTGAGAGTTCAGTGAATTCAGGAAGTCCTGATCGTCACGCACAACTGGGTTGCCACCTGGAGAAGAGTGGCTTTATTAATACAAAAATATGTCCCAAACAGACTTCTATACTTCAGGCATATATTCTGGCATCTTGAGCACTGGATGTATATAGCTTGCCTTGTTCCCCTGGCAGATAATCATACAGATTTTATGGACTTGTTAGTTATGAGCACAGCTGAATACCTGATCTCTGCTCTTATTCCTAATGCCTCTGATGTCATTCCTCTGACAGGTTACCATGAGACACTGCTCATCAGTAAGTGATTGTATATCATACTCTACCTTGATCGTATACATCGTTGAGAAGGAACTCGTCAATATCAGAATCCACGAGACCGTCTCCAGCAGTGCAGTAGCACCTGGCAGTGCATATCTCTGTGCCACTGCAGTATTCTTGTACCGTAGGCTGAAACCATGATTCAGTGTTGGCAAGAAAATGTGAGCATTAAATTTTATAAAGTGTTATAGTGTGTATGTATTACAGTGCAATTCCAGCACACGCACACAGCTTATAAAGGACACAAAAAAGGAAGAGTGGGAAGTGATGTCACATTACATTCTATACTTAACCATACAACACACACAGTCTACTATATACAATGACTATATAGCTGGGTTCGCTTTGCTTTCCTATTAGACATAATAGCTAGTCACCACCTTTGCAGGTATATATACCTATAATTAACTAACATCAGACAAGGCTTAAAGAGTTGTACTCACTGTACCTAACTATTATCAAGGGAATTTTATATACCCATACCCTCTTTTTTCCACACGCTATACATTCGAACATTGAGCGTAATTCTGGTTGCCAGATGCATACCTGAGCAGAGCAGTCTTCTGATGGATTGAGAGAAGATAAACAAAGTTCAAAGCCTTCCATTCCTGCAGGAAAACACGTTACTTATTTGCTTTAGCTACTTTATAATAAAGAGTCTATACTCCAATGTTCAGACAGTACTCTACTTAATGCCCACTCCATTGTACTCTATTAACCTAATGATACACTCACGTTGTATTTGTCTTTAATTACCAATGCTACTTTGTTCTCGCACCTTTTTAGAGTACGGCAGTTTGAAATACTCCAATCTGATTGGACTATTATAGGAGAAAGCTAGTCCGCGTAGTTTCTTCAGTATAGGATGAGGAGAACACTAAGTAAAACGAGGAATACTATCGAGGAACGCTATTGCATATTAATTAGGGGTCCTCGCATCCACCAATCAGATTGTGCAAGTACAAAGCTGCATTGATAAAACTCTTATGGGAATGGAGGAACTCACGGTAGTTAAAGGCTCCTGTAAGCTCCGAGATATCATCCGCCAGACCTTCAGGGATGCCTTTGCTATTTTCTTCATTCAGAGCTTCTTCAGACGAGTCACTGTCTCCTGTCGTATCAACGCTGACACTCTCTTCCTCCTCTTTTCCATCAGAATCTCCACTCCCTTCCTCCTCCCCATCAGGTTTAGTATCCTCTTCACCTGCAGTGATATGGGAGAGGTTATAACAGCCAAGATTGATTTTGGTGTAAATAGCTCATTAACTGGATTCACTTTATTTTCTGCTTGTTTTCACACAGGCTTGTTGAAGGCAAGGATTAAAGGGAATGTGTCAGTAAATAAGGGCTTAATTTAGAGACTGTTACTGAAAATGGAAACTCAATTGCATTATGACACTGGGTCCTATTGTTTAGTTCTAACACTAAAGTTAGCTCTCTCTACTGCCACATTCACAAAAAGGAAAAGTAAGTAATGCAGTGCAAATTCTGGCATTCAATAGTTCATTGCAACCCCCTCCCCGAAAGTCACAGTATATACCTAACTCGAGAAAGCGTTGTGTATGCGCATGCTGTGTGTAACTTTGCTCTGCAAGAAACACTCATTGTAGTGCCTGTTGCCATACTGTGGATGATGTCTTTACCGTTCGTTTGGTCTCCATCTGATGGCTGATCTTCATCCCGCTTCCTTCTCTCCTGATTTTCTTCTCCCTCCCTCCTCTCCCTCTTGCCCCTCCTCGTCAGATGTACATGCTAGCTCCACCCGTTCCTCCTGGAATGACATGGTCCATTTTTCGTTTCTTTTTAAGTTTTATTTTCTAAAGGGAGCTTCCACCTATATGATGACGCTTTAGCTCATTAAGGCAGGCCACAAGTGTGTGCGCATCACAAAGACCTATATTTTGTCCAAGCTTGGACTGTGTACTTCATTTTTCTGGCATGCACAGTATCAACTCCCCACATAGACACTCATGCAGACACACCCTTAAAGACAGTAAATGACTTACAAGTTCTTCAAAATCAAAAAGGGACCCTTCTTCATCAAAGAGGTTTTCAACAGCCTCTTCAGCGATATCCACTATTCTGTTAGCAACCACCCACAGTGGGAGCAATTTGTTCGTTGAGGGCAGTATAGTAGGGAGAGTAGCAGGCACGCAGTAGAGCATTGCAGGCATTGAAGCAGAGTGGAGGTGTACTCTCCGTGCACCGCGAGCAGAAGGCAATGTCGATAAACTTTGAAACACACTGTTTCAGATCAACGTTATTCACGAAAGCACCTCTTTGCACTTCAAGGAAGGCTTGAATGCGGTTAAGTGTGGATAGGGACTGCCTGATGGTTTGAATTCGAGTGGCGACTGCCGAAATAGCATTCCCATTGGAATTCACAAGAGACAAAGCAGTTTCTCGCACACAGTCCTCCATACTATTATTAAAAGCTGCCACAGCTGCGTTACCAATAAGTCTTTCCACAAACTGCCGTGGGTTGAAAACAACTACTGCTTGTCGTTTCTTTTTGTCGTCTTTATCGTCATCATCATCATCATCATCGTCATCTTCAGGAATTATATAGTTGTTGGATAGCTCATTAACGGTTTCAAGAAGTTCTTGGTTAGTCGGATCAAACATGTCAGCCGCAGCTGGTGGCAAACTCTCAACGAGCCTTTCAAGGAACGGATTTTTAAAATCTGTTGACACATAAGAAAAGCCCGTGGATAAACACGACAAAACAGAAAAGGAATGATATGTGTACTCAGGCTGTGAATAATAATTAGATTAGCTCAACAATAGCGTTCCCTAACAAATATGGCATAGTAAGTATAATCATGGTTGTCTCGTGGGGAGCAGTAAAAGTAACACGAGCCTACTACGTACTGTGTCTAGCAGGTCACATGAGACTAACACGACACCTCCGCAGGGTTCCCACGACAAAAAAGGGAATCCTGTCATATTATAGGTGTCATATTATAGGTGTCACAACACAAAGGGATAGATAGGCACGTCTTATGACCTATGTTTTTACGTCTTAAAATTACACCACAACAGAGAAGATGGATCCCTTTTCAAAGCAAAGAGGTGCAGTTAGAATTTCTAGCTACAATTACAATTATTTTGGAAGAGGAATGCAGGTGAACTCTACTAGCTAACACTAGATATACTACACTGAGTGTATTGCAAATGGTGAGCTTAGTATATATAGGAAACCGATTGTGCGAAATGACGCTCCATGAACCCTCGCTGTGGTAAAGTGGAGAGGCATGCGGCTGATTACTTACATTCGATGAGATTCTCCACGTCGTCTTGGTATTCCTCTATGACATCCGCGAATTCTCCCACCAGCCCATCTTGCAGCTCTGCTACAACTGCGGCCTGGACCGAATCGATGTACTCTTGTGTGCAGCACTGCTCGTCAGCTCTAGCACATCGCGAAAGGGCCGCACCTGTAAGGAACGGGGGGAAAGTAACAGGCCGTATATAGCTCGCGGCGTATGCTTACCTGAAGAGGCCACAACATCCGAAAATCCCAGCGAAGGGCAGTCAAGCTGGGCTCGCAGGATGTATGGTAGCACACCCAGCAAGAGACAGAAAAGAGTGCGCATTTTGTCGCTATATAGTTGTTGCCCGTCGATCTGCGCCTAAATTTATACCAACGCGCGGCGATTCGCGGGCGCGGCGCATGCGTCCAGTCTCAGAGAGAGAGGTTGGACACGCGTCATACGTAACGAGTTGCAATTTTGCAATGCAATCTCTCTCTCGTCGTATGGCGGATACAAACGCCTTACTGAATCGAAGCCAAGCAAGGATCGAATGATTTTTGGAGTTGAATAGGTGTATCTCTAGTCCTAGCGAATTACAGAAGCTTCGTGGTACTCAATATTGGCAACTCAGCGTAAGATACAGCAGACTACTCTACCTCTTTTCCATCCTTTCTACAGCTGTCTGCAAATTTCAAGTGCACCCGCCCATTTTTCCGTAAACTGAAGAGGTCGACGCCCGTATTACGTATCACCGTCGTAATTTTTGTTGAGTCAGCAGCTTGTCTTCCGTAGAGAATGTATGGCAAAAACGAAGCTCTCTCTAAACCAAAGCCAAACAAGTATCGACATAGTTTTGTTGACAGGTAGCCGGTCAATCATAGGCAGAAGATACTGACAAAAGCCGACCTACCCCCCTCTACGCCTGGTTACCCAGCGAGTTACAGCGTCAATTACTACTCAAGACGCCCTCTGCCCCTACTAAGCTGAGCATACGATACCCTTTTTCAACACTTCCTACAACTCTCCGCACGATTTCAAGCGGATCCTGCCAATTTTGAGCTAACAAACTCGGCCATAAAACTTTGGACGTCACCACTTCGGCGGCATGTCGCACAATAATGGTCGCGATTCGATCACGTGCAATTCACGTGAGTGACCCAGCCTTGTCACACGCGTCATAAAATATTGTGCGGTCCGGTCTATATATATATCTCCTAGCGTAAGCTTTAATGTAAGGGCGTAGGGGCAGCTTTCTTCAACGAGTGAATTCTGCTGCTGGTTATGCAGTTCCTTTTTCTAACTCTTCTCTTTGCTCTAACTGTTGGACATTGTGTGATAAACAATCATTGATTCTTCTATACATAGAGTCAGTGACAAAATAACGGCTACGAACCTGCATACCATGCATGTATTGTGTAAAAAACAGTACACATACATTCTAAGAGGTGAAGATAGCCACGAAAAAGGCTAGTAATAGTGCAGTTAGTGATGCTACAGTCATAGAACCAGCCTCCGTAGCTACAGTAGGACCAGCAGTGCAGATACTGCCACCGTCTGCTGTCTCCTGAAAAATTTGTTCAATTGGAGATCAATTCCAAGATCAGAACATAATGCATCTCTAGTGCAACATTATTGTATAGAACGGAACTATTATGGCAAGGGAACATATCACCATGCAGAAAAATTAATGACGGTATTGGATAAGACAAATGAAACCATTTCTGAGGCTCATATTGTAAGCACAGTTTGTAAAAAAAGCTGCATTATGTGACTCACCTGGGGTTTTGAGAGTTCAGTATAGGCTGGAGAACTCAGGAAATCCCTCACAGGATTTCCCTGCTGTCGCTCAATCTCCGACAGCTGTCTCTCCAAATCTCTGACATCAAGAGGTGGCTGGAAGACTGGGTTAGCACCTGAGAATAAAAATTCGGTCACATGTGGCAGACACTGTTACAAAGGATGAGGAACACCTTGGGGACATTGAAAAAGTGTTCATTATTCTTTATGTGGAGGTAAAATACTTATGTAGTATATATGGACAGAACAAAAAGGAGGTTTTCCTTATTCGGAGGTGGAATACTAATATATATAAGACATAAGTAATATTATATTAAGGAGGTGTTCTTTGTTCCGAGGGTCCTTTTTCCACTACATACTCCCTGCCCGCAGGCCCAATGCTCAGCTCATATGATTGGTCATATGCTCCTTGGTCACCGGCTGTATTTGTACCACAGAAGCCCTAGAAATCAAAGGCACCAGCACGCAGTGTATGCGCACTAAGACAACTCATTAGTATGCATGCCATGGTGTATGGTGTGCTGACTCAGCCATACACTCACATGTGGTGTATGAGCTCTCATACACCATGGCATGCATACTAATAAGTTGTCTTGTAGTCCAACTTCAAACAACCCGGTGCTAGGAATATACGCTGTATTCTGAGCTGTGGGCTGCGGGCTGCACCGGTATCAGTATTGGACAGGAAGTCCTTATCACAACATCTAGCGCTAGGCGTAGTGCAAATTGTCTGGCTTCCAAAGTTTACACAACAGTCCATTAGTACATTAGTGCAAGATGACTCAGCAGAAATTCAGCATTGTGATTGGCTAGTTGGACTACAAATCAGTTAACGTCAGGCGTCTTGGCGCGTACAGGAAATCCTCCTCGGCTGTTAACTATACCGCGCCTCGGGCTACGCCCTCGTCCGGTATAGTCAACAGCCAGCCTCGGAGTATCTCCTGTACCGCCTCGCCGCCTATACGTTAACTAATACTTAGTGGTACAAATTGGTTACACTACACCCACTCAAGGTTTAGTGCATACGCTTAGTGTAACCTATATATATAGGCACCTAAAAGCCCACAGAGGAACAGAAGTCCAAGAGTTAAGTACTCTCAAACCAGCGTGAAAATCTATACACCGATAGACTCCCAAAGATTAATACTATGTGCATGTAGTTTCACACACCTGTCCTTCTATATAGAGAATGAGATTATTGGTGGTGTAGTGCTAGTGACATGGCCATGAGAAGAGTCTAATGTCATCTGCTTTTATAAACATACAGCCAGATGTTACACTCTGTGATAACCATGCTATATAGGCCTCCCTGTTTATCCATAATATTATGTTCATGTGCATTACGTGGGTAGTACTTTTTCTTGTGGAGATTGAGCCAACTGTGTTTGTTTTAAAATGTGAAAGGCTGGGTTCCAAGGCTAAAGGCACTTCAGATTCAAAAGTTTCGTGAGTTACTGAGATATGGGTTCGAAACATAAGACTGAAGCAGAGTATGAACTAAATCCCCTATCAAAGCCTTGCATACATACTACGTACTGCCCATTCCAATAAACAAGTACATGTATATTATACTCCCGTACTTATATAGTAGTGATATTATATTGTATGGGAAGAGTGGTTGATTGCACAAAAGGCCCACAGGCCAACTACGGGCATTGATACTAATTGACGATCCCATCCACCACACATTACCTTTTTTGTACTACATTAGTACTGTATCATTGCCCTACCTTGATCGTGAATATCATTTTCCTCGAAAGTTTGCATAGTTTCATCGTCTGAGGTGAACCCAGTGCCATCAAAACAGTCGCATTCTGAGGTCGTTAGCTCTAGTTTTCCAGGGTCTGAGGTGTATGTACCATTCTTGAGTTGTGCTTCATCCTAAAATGTGAATTAGGGGATGTCAACATGTCAACACAAGGCCAAGTGAATAATTATCAGTAATTCAAGGACAATACTTTGAAAAAAGAGCCGCCCCCAGGTGGGATTCGAACCCACCATACTGCTCTCTAGGTTGAGTGCTCTATATACCCACTGAGCTACCAGAGCTCAAGGTTACAAGGGATGCATTTTTGCCAAATATGAATCACGGAAAGTGTTACGGCGTGTGCAGATCCCGTCACATACATAATGTAGAAAAACCGCATTGAGGCGACTCGCTTAATTTGCAAAGCATAGTGCATTGGTCAGGAGTATATGGCATACTACTCCATAGTGTGGCTTCACTTTCTCAGGGAAACGATACAAAATTGGCAAGAGTAGTATAGTGAAAGTGCACTACACTCCCTACAGTTCCATACAAGTAGACAAGTGGAGTGTAAATGCCTTACTTGTATATTGCATTGTAGACCTTGAGGCCCCTCAGTGGCCTAAAAGGTAGAAAGCACTGTTATGGATGGTGTATTCAAGCTAGTGTATGGATAATGTACCTCGGAGCATGTATTGTCATCCGTTTTCACACGACAAATCTTCAAGTCACCTTCACCTGAGTAAATATAACATTGTAAAAAATGAACAACACGCATATATATAGTACCCATAACCCTTCAGCCAATTACTTACTGTACGTAAACGGGCCAGTGATATCCATCAGTTGTTCTAACACTGGCAGAGGAATTCCTACAGAACTCTTCTCTTTTCTGGTAGTTTTGTCTCCCCCGGTTGTTAGTCCACAGTTACTTTCAATATCGGCCAGCTAAAGGTAAGGGCAGAAAATAAACAGTGAAAAAGGAAGAAAAACACGCTTACAAGTTTGGAAAGTTCGCCCAGTTTTGATGTGTGGTGCAAGACACGATGTACTGTGGAGTTTATGTCTAAAGTAAGACGCTTGATTTCGGTCCATAGCTCCTGGAACTGTCCGTTGAGTAGGGTGTAGTAAGGGGAGTAGCATCCACGAACGAGAGCATTGCAGGTGAGCACGCAGATAGGAGGTGTCCGCTCAACACACTGTCTGCAAAAGGCAGCTTCGATGAATCCGTTCACACACGCCGTGCTAACATTGGCACCTTCAGTTCTGTTTGTTTGCGATTCAATGAAATCGCGGATTTTCTGTACCGCAGGAAGTGTGTAGTTGAATAGCTCCACTAATCCACTTGAAACCTGCACAAGTGAGTCGTCGTCAATTTTACTTCTAGTGGCACGACTTATACACTGTCTATCTTCCTCTGAAATATCCTCTCCACTATAATAAGCCTCTGTAATCTTGACCACCAGTCTGGTAAACTTGGATCTAATTGTTTCACAAACTGCATTGTCTGCAATCCCACCAGAAAATATATCAGTTAAATTGTTCTCGGATTCATTTGAAATTTGTGAAGTGCTCGTAGCCACCAAGACGTGGATTATATCCCTCTCAAAGAAATGCTCGCTGAAATCTATAACAAAGGGTGTAAGCACATAAGATATGCATACACTATGCATCATGCAGTGGTGTGCACAATCAGTGTAGGAGTTGTAGGGAGGCTAAGTGGTCTTTTTAGAAGGTCACTACTCACGCTACATGCCCTTTGAAAGAAGAGTGGGCCACAAAAGGCTATCAGTTACTAGATCATGGACAATGGATACAAACATCCTCAAAATCCTGAGGGGCCCAGGACTTGTTGAAACCACACAAAATAACATTTCAAGGAGTGGGCCAAATGAAGATTATTATAAGACTCACACCCAATGAGTTTGTCTACTTTGGAAAGGGTGCTGTCAATTCCATCCCTAAACTCCGTTGGAATGTACTCGTCCAGCTCTGACTGCACTATGTGACTGAGACGGTTGAGGTATGTAGGCGTACAGCAATCCTCAGCGTTTCTGACACACACAGATGAATCGCTATCTGTAATTCAGCAAACGGGCACATGGCGGTTGACTTCCAGCAACATGAAGGCTCTGTCTCCCTTACCGTTCTTTGGCTGGATGTCTCCAAAACCGAGAGCGCAACAGTCCGGCAAAGCGTGGTATCTTGAGAGTTGAGCAGAGAGCAGTACTCCCACGAGAAGAGCCGCTATCATCTTTCAAGAACTAAAGTGCATAGCTCGCGACCCGTGCGATAATTACGGTCGTACGACGCATGCGCATTCATCGCCAAAGCCGCGCGCCTCTTAACGGTGCGCGCGCGCAGTTTTGAAGGGGCTATAAAATACGGGTTGAAGTGTCGCTGCGGCATATCGTCGAGAATCTCCAACGAAAATGTGGATTACTACTGCTGCCCTTTACCTGGCCATCGTGGTTGCAGTGACGTCTGCACAACCGGCAGAAGAAGACGCCGATTGCGGCAATCTGGGCTTTGAAAGACGCGGACGATTCCGAGGTAAGCTACATAGCTAGCTAGTCCCTTCATACCTTACACCGCAAGCTGCTCCTCTACTGCTTTATAGCTTGGTACTATTCACGGAGCACCATGCAAGCATCTCATTCCATTCTGCAGCGGATCTGCCAGTGTGTGGCAGGAGCGAGGACCAGTGCTGCTCTGCGGAGTACCTGGATGACGTCCAGGAGCGGCTGCAGGAGAGACTGCAGCGTTTCCTGAGGAGAGAGTTTGACGACGTCGTGGAGGAATACCAGGACGAGGTGGACAACCTCCTCCTTTGTAAGCTGCTATAATATCTCCTCTATATAACTCCACGACTGTCTATTGCTCATTGCTTACTCCTAACAAGGAACATATCATAGTAACTGTGTCGTGTTGATGCTTGGTGCCCAACCAAATATGGAGTGTATGTAGTATATTTCCCTCAGTTACACACACAATCCATTGTAACTTGCAATAAGGCTGTGTCTGACGTTTCTGGTGTTGTCACTCGCCAATGTTGTATATACATTGTCTCGTCACGTGGTTGGACGTTAATTGGCTCTGCAAGGCAACCCTCCAACACAACAATAGTTCAATTATTTAATAACCAATTCTAAAAACATACAAGTTATGAACAAAGAAGCCTCCCACAAGTCACATGAGAATGCTTTCAAACCAAGTATTGTCAGCCAGGTCACATGCAAACACAATTAGTAACAGAAACTTATCACTGCCTGTAGCTAGGTAATACTGCATTAGATTGTGTGAGCACAACCAGGAAACGTGATGCATTCTATAAAGGGTGAGAAAAGCATATAGTTTTGGGTAAAACATGACCCCAACTCATGGGGCAGGTTTCTGTTTGGTCAATTGAAAATGGCATCCATTCAAACAAGGCAAAACTCCATTGCCACACCCAAGCCACCTCTGTTTGTTTAGATCACGTCTTTTGACCCAATTTGAGAGATAGTAAGGACACCTCAACAGCTGATGTCATGCTGTGCGTGGCCATCACAGACGCACTACTTTACGTGGGAAGGGAGAGTCTGGCCATACAGGAAACCTTGCATGAAGCTATTATAGACATCTTTGGATGGTGTGTTTGTCCACCAGACCATAGTCATAATTCCCATCACACTCTCTTCCATATAAGTCCTCAGAATCACTAAACTTTTTTGTGTGATTGTATTACCTAGACAGGTGGGAACAGTTAGAATGGTTGTACAGGGGTAAGCAAGAACAGTGGCTTATGTTGTACCAATAGAGAAGCAGTAGTGTGCCTGTATGATGATAGCTCAGCAGTCATACCTTACAGCCATTAACATTGCAGTGTGGCCTCTAGTTCGTGGCTTTCTAATTCAAAACATGTTAGGAAAACTGTGCCTGAAAAGGATACCATGTGAAAGATATTCACAACAATGGCTTCTATGTATGGACAGTGTCAAAGTGAAAGCTTTGTAGGTCAACTGTTGGATATTAATGGTAGTCATACTCATATCGGAGTTCAACATCAAGCACATCAGCCAAGTGATACTTGGGAAAAGTGCCCAGTTTACACATTGACAATTACAACAAATCCTCATTATACTTTGGGTGTGTATGAGGCCACCCCATGCAAATTACATACACACCCTTTTCCTTTTTTTAGTGGGTTCTGTTGCCTGTGTGTGCTAGCTATGCACCTTTAATAAAACAAACGTACCTCAAGCAAGTGCAAAAACGGTCCTCAACAAAGACGGAGAAAAGTGATTTCATTCATAGCATGGTTTCTGTTGCTGTGCCGTTGAATCCCTACTCAATGAGAGACACCATTTAAGTCTTGTGCATGACATGATGCTTGCCACTTACTGACATCATGACCTTCTTTAGAGTGACTGGAACTATAGTATGGTGGGTGTTGGTGTTCACGTGATATCCTTTAGTATATTTATGGGGGTGTTACTGTGCTGTTGAATCCCTACATCTTCTGAGAGACACAACTTAGGTCTTGGTCATGTGACCTAGTCACATGAATAGTTTACCTTCTTTGGTGTGCACTGACTGGAACTAGAGCATGGTGGGTGTCGGGGGTCAAGTTACTTATTTGACAGTGGTAGCATCTTGTTTGGGGTGCTATGGTTCTTACGAGTCATTGTCACATGATAGGCTAGTTGGTGAATTGACATACACATCAACCAGTAGAGACTTGCAACCCGCATAGAATGAACGTTGTAGTACTAAATTTTAACCCATGTCCTTTCATAATGTTTCCCGCAGATTTCGATAGGTTTTTCCCCAGAAAACTGCTGCAGAATCTCCCGTCATTCGAGACTTTTGCAGACAATCCTATACTCCGCCGTATTCTAGCACGACTAATTGACAACCTTGAAATTGACGAAGACGATGACGAGTTTGATGTCGGGGACTTCCTCGAGACATTAATAGAGAGTCTGACTAGAATTGAGGCCCGGTTGATAGGAGGTGGTGACGACAGAGTTGAGTGTATAGCTGAAGTACTGGAGGGTCTAGTGGATAGAGATGCAGTTAGTAATATGAGAGGACTTCTGCGGCAGGTTCGAAGGGGAATCACCGCTCTAATGAAGACTGGCCGCTTCCTGGAGGGACAAAGAAACAGACTTGGGGAGGGAGGCGCCCGTGTGCTCGAACGCTGCGTCGCACGGTTCACGGAGATTGCTTTTTGCAGTCGATGCACTCGCAGGACCCCACCGCTCTGTTTCAAGACGTGCGATGCCCTCGTACGTGGGTGCTACTCTCCCTACTACACTGCCTTCAATCGCCGCTACAGTAGGCTGTGGGACAAGATTCAGGAGATTGTGGAGGTTCTGAATGCAACCGTGGAAGCCGTCGGAGAGATTGAACTCATCAATTTTCGTGAAGTGGTGAGTGAGTTTAGACACGGTGCACTCATACGTACATAGTTTGGCAGACCCATAAGAAGAATTAACAGCATGCTGAATCATAATAGCTCCTGGCTTCTTGCTATGAACCCTCATTTGTGAGGAACTGGTGCTGGTTCTGATGCTTACAGGAAAGGGCAAGACTACAGAGAATGACAGTGCAAACAATGCATACTGCCCTTCGCACCAAAAGAGCAACACCTAGTCTTAAAAGTCTATAAATTTCACAATTATTATTAGAATCTTTCCCCCGTATCTCTAGATACGTGAAGTAAGGGAGGAGTGTGGTGTTAGTCCCAACGATCGCAGGAAAAGGCAGGGCGGGAGAGAAGATGGCACCAAAGACAGAACCACACCTCGCACGACGTCGTCTCGTAGCAACACCAACGACACTGGGAGCGGCTCAGGGGAGGAAGACACCACTACCAAGGGAAGGAGTACCAGCAAGGGAAGGAGTACCAGCAAGGGAACAAAGACAGGAAAAACTGACTCGACTGGAGACTCGAGCAGTGCAGCTATTCTCGATATTGCTGATGATATTGAGTTCATACCACGCGCCTTGGTGGAGGATATCTTTGAACTGAATGGAGCTTTTGAATATGGTAAATTAACATGTTTTTAATAAGGACAGTAGAAAACCAAAATATAGGAAACCTTTGAGTGAAGGACACTATGGTTCTTCCCGTTTACTAAGAAAGCCTCTGAAAAATGGACACTTCAGATGTAAACAAAGTCTGAGGTTTCACCACACAATTACTGGCTACACACTTCTTATGAAGGCTTGTGCCATCACCCACTTACCATAAGGGTTTGTCTGAGTGATTGAAGTTTTCTCCTGCAGGGAGAGGAGGTAGGAATCTTCGATTCTGTTCCGATGCTCTGCTTGACGATGAGGACGAGGATGATGATTATGATTCCTGTCCTCCTCCAGTTAGTACTCATACAGTATTGGTGCCACTGGTTTATGTGCTCATGGGTTGTTGAGAAATTTGTGTATAGGTCCAGGGGCATTTTGTTGCTTACATTGTGTGCATTAATGCTTGCCCCTGCAATTACTATTGTTGACAGCACCTGCCAAGGCAGTTCCAGCCTAATTCAAGGCAGTAGGCCCGCAAACACCAGAGCATACTCATTTCAGCAAGTGAATGTTAGTTCTTTGTCACGTGGACGTTTCTTATTGTCGTATAAGTACATTCGTACTATTCAGACAACTAGCTACAAATTTAACAACCCCTTAAAAATTTGTTATCTTTTAGGGCCAAGAGTTAAAACAGTGCAGAGTCAACGATATATGCACCTCCAAATGCTACTGTACTGACGGGCGGAATAATGTCACCAGGGACAATGAAACTGACCTCGTGTTTGATAGCAGTGATGTTGAGGACCAAGGTAATGATTTGCCAGCAGGCTCTTAACAATGTATATACCTATACTGAAAACGATTTATTTGAAGACGAAACATAGAAACAACAGGAGAGTAGCTACCATGCTAGGCTAAAGTTGGTTCATTCAAAGAAATGTCTGTTCAGGCAGTATCTACTATAATTATAAAGAACAGACTATCACTGGTCGAGTCCCAGCTCTTTTTGCCCTGCTCTGCCCTTTACTACGTTCTGCATCATACTATACTGTTTGACGTAATGTTAATGAAAAAACTCCCAACTGATTCCTTTATCTTACTGTAAATCTCTAGTCATGAACTCAATCTCACTTTAGGTGATAATCCAGTTCTTGGTATCAGTTTGGAGGAACTGATGAATGAGATGAACAGGATCGAGAGTTTGGAGGACCCGGTGGAATCCTTCCTCTCCTCAGACGAGTTCAGATCTGTCGACCCAAGTGTAGAGGAAGAGGTATGACACATAATAATCAGTTGAGAATGCAGTGGAACCTAATCTAGCCCACAGAACCTCTCTCCTCGGCCTGCGCATGCTGCGCGCGCAGCCCCATTGCATGCATCTGTTCATGCGAGAAGTGGAGAGAGACTCGGCATGCTAGACTAAGTATAACACTACTCTAAGTACACCCACGAAAGAGAACACCTTTCTAAGAACACCATTTTTCTTGCTAACCCATGAAATTAGGACACCTCACTAATATAATATAGCACTTCCATTGGTGTTCTGGGCTGGAGGGGTTCCACTGCATAATTCAAGACTGGATGGTTAAACCATACAGTCAAGCATAATGGGGAATACTATAGGTTTGCTAGTATATAGCCAAAGGGGTTATTGAAGAGACTTACGACTTTGTGTTGGTCCACGTACAGAGAGTTGATGATGGTGATGGTGGAAGGAGTTCTGCAGCTGGTCTGGGGGCCTCTCTCTGCGCTCTCCTGCTGGCAGTGACGGCGTTAACCCTCCGCTCGTGATGACTATTTTGCAACAACCGCTGCTGATATGTAGACATACTGTGTGTTTTTATTGTTCCATAGACTCATCATAGCCTAGAACTCATGATAGCAACACATATTATACCACGTAAGTATATTATAATACTGCACATGTCATGATGGCTATATACTTATGAAGATTTAAAATCAAAATCCATAAAAATGGAGGTTCATTCTGACTTGTTTCACTTTGATGATGGCTTAGTAAGGTGTGAGGTATATATCCAGCCCGTGGCTTCTTTTCTTGTTTACCATGGTTTCCTTTTGTAGCTTCTTAATCTTTGGCACCACTAGTAGATCATTCTCGGGGTTCCTTAGTTTGCTCCTTTATCACCCTTTATCGCTTTTGCTTGATCATGCCATGACATGCCTCAGTTTGTATTGGGCCGGTCACCTTTTCAGCCTAGCTCTAATCAAGTACAACTCGCTGATATTATCTAAGACTAATCTGAAAGTAGATTCCCTTTTCTCAAGCAAAAGCGCCGGACTAATAGTGCTTGTGGACCAAATCATCCAAGGTAGGTAATGTTTCCCTTTGGCTTTTGCTAATGTGTTGCAAAGGCAAATTAAGATAATGCAGCCATTATGCAGCCTGAGAGGAGCTTAGCTACTGAATAAGAAAACACATGCAGTTCACCATAATCCATAATTATGAAGCACTCCAAATGAAGAGAATGAACGTATATATACTTTTAAGCTTTTTGGTTGTATTACAGTAATAGTTAGTAATAGTTAGTAATCGAGTGGTGTAGTTAAGGTTCAAATCCATGAATCTTCCCATGGAGAGTTTTAACTTGCTTACTGCTCTCATTCTGGAAACAAGCCAAGGTATAAATATTTCCCTTCGATCCAAACGGCTTTTTGATTGCCTCCCCACCGCTACTTTCTTCAGCTTCGCTTTCCGCTGCACCTCCTGATTGCTGCATGCTCTGATTGGATCCACTGCCAGGTCCAGATTTTCCGCCAGCCTAACTTTCCTTCTGTTTTTGTTCTTCTGTGTCATCAATATCTCTTTTTAAGGCTTTCATTCTGCTCTTTAGCTCTCGTTTTGCTTCTTCACGCGACAAAGGGATTTCAGATTCAGATTTAGGATTTGCTTTTTTAGGCTTGTCTGGTTTCAAATGCTTGACCTTTTCACTCAGTAAATCTGTAAGCCCTTGTACATAGCTTGGTGGTTTTGAACTTGGTTTTGAACTTGGGGCTTTTTCACTTGTTTTAGATCCCAACCCTTTATTTGAGGAATGTGAGCCATCACAATCACCTCTGGTGCCTTGACTGTTGTGCGACTTTGAAGATAAACCAGCGTGCAGGTTTCTTCTGTGTGTGCCCTCAAATCCATTTCTAGTAACTTCTTTGACCTCTTTATCTCTAACCATTGAGCCATTGTCTGGAGACACAATACCTTGTTTTGAACTTGGATGGCTGTCTTTGTCAAGGGAGTGTTTTGCACATGACTGTTGTTGGGCATCACAATGGCTTGTAACAACCCTGTACACACCTTTGTTCCTGGGTTGGCTGATAGAATCAGGGCTTAATGCCATGCTTTCATCCTCACCACTACGTTTGTGGCCATCGTCTTTTGGCATCGACTGTGCTCTTTGTTTCTCTCTCACCGTGTGCCCATGAACATTGAACTTTTCGTGTGTAATTTGTCCGTCTTGATCACTTGATCTTTGGTGAAGGGTATTACGCGATCGAAATGCACCATTGATCATGCTTCCAGTTCCAGTACTGCGAAGTTTGGTCATTGGCAGTGGCTCTCTTGGACGCTGGCTTAAACCTCCTCTGCTAGACACAGAGTGGGCTGGATTTCCATCAACTGTGTTCCTTTGTACACCACTTGTACTGCTGGAGGCGCTTGTCGGCTGTCTGTAATCCTGCCGTGATGTGTAGCGTGATTCCGAGCTTCCACTCGCTTCCACTGGAGGTCCAGTGGTTCTTAACGTATTGTCACATTTGGGTCGAGTCTCGTGTTGCCTGAGGACGCTACCCCTCCCAACTGCATTCTTTTGTTTCACGTTTGAGTTGCTTCTTGCGTTGGTGTACCGTGTGTTTCTGCCATGCTCAAAAGAGGCAGTGGGTTGTCCCACGTCTACGCTGCCGCCTACATAGAGACTGCTGCTTCTGCCCGTGTAGCCATGACCATTATGTACCATAAGCCTTGGTCTTGGCTCTCTGAGACCTGTACCTGTTTTGTAATGGCCTGAGTTTCCACTGGCCATACCCGCAGAAGTCCCTGCTTTAGAAATCTCTTCTGTTGTTCCATGTTGGGCTTTTAGGGCTAGGGCTATCCCTGCTCCCTTTTCACCTTTTACTCCTGAAGCATGGTGGCTGCTAGGTCCATTGCCTCCCATTGTTGGCTGTGAACCAGAGGTGACACATGCACTTTCTTTTGGGTCTCCACAGGTTCCATTGTCACTGCTGTGACATCCAGAATGGCCACTTGAGCCATTACCTTTCCTGTTCCCTGAAGAGCCCTGACCCCCACCTAAACCTAAATTCAAACCAGGGCCAAAAACAAGGTTTGGGGGTCCTGCAGTAAGTCCTATGTTGCCACACTGAAGCCTGGTTGATATTCCAATTCCGGCACCCTTATGAGTGCCAATGGTGACATTCCCCGCATCAATACCTTTTGTAAAATCAGCTGTTGCCTGAAAGCTGGTTCCACCTTGTGGAGCCAGGTCAACATTGGCTGCTCGCATCGATGCCGGGCATGCATGCAAGGTAGCTCGTGCACTAACTGAGCTATCCTTGCCTTGAACATTCACATTTGCCGCTTGAACATGTGCTCCTTGCACATTAACTGCAGCTTCTGCGCTTGCACCCTTCTTTTCTCCTGTAACGCTAAGAGTAGCGGCCCTAACCTCACTCCCAACTGTCTGGACATGAGCAGTTGCTTCTTTCTTGTCTTCTACACCGACAAAACTTGCTGCTGCTGCTGTTACATCCAGACCCTTCGCTTCAGCTGAAGCACTAGCTCCACGATGCACTCTATCGCTTACTGCCATGATGCTTGCAGCATTTACTTCAACACCTACGACTTTTGCTTTAGCCTCTGCTTTGGCAGTCACCTGCACACCAGCATCAGAAACCTTTACATCAAGTCCTTTTGCTGCTGCCACAGCTTCAGCTTTACCTCGTTTTACATCTAAGTTCCCTGCCTTTATATCAACACCTTTGGCTGTTGCAGTTGCTAAAGCTTTAACTTCTGCATTTAGTTTAACACTGACAGGCCCTACAGTACCCGTTGCAGAAGCATGAGCTTCTACATTCATTGATGCTTTAATGGTGTTTGGAGTGGCATCAGCAGCAATTCTAACTTCACCCCTAACATCAGCCACTAATCCAACATCACCAACAGTGGCCGATACTGAAGCATAAGCATTTGCATTCATTGATGCATTCACGGCTTTCAAAGTGGCAGCAGCAGCAATTCCAACTTCACCTCCAACATCACACACTAAATCAGCACCACCAACAGTGGCTGATGCAGACATTTGTTGCTCTGCTTTCAGTTTTATTTGCCTCTTTAGCCCAGCTTTTTTCATGATTTTGTCAATAAGGGATTTTATGTCTTCATCCTCTGTTGACATATCTTCTGCCGGCGTTTGATATTCATCTTTAGAACTACTGGCTTTTAATGCTGGCTCTAAGCCTGACTCTTGAATGATCTCATTCACATCTTTAATACACAATTCCTCAGCTGCTTCTGTGCCCCTTATAACTTCCCCACTTTTAATGTAAATATCTTCGTTTGCTGCCATTCTCTAAACCATAAAGAAGTACACATAATATAGACATGTGACACAAACAATGCATTTCTGATAACATGACCAACCTTAACTCTTTGATCAATCGATCATATATTGCATCCAACTAAGAGGTAAAGCATTAGACTAGCAGTTATACGCACTGCCAGAGTGTATTTTCCCTGGGTGAACACACCCAAAAGATTAAGGAATCTGCACATATCAACAATTCACTGCATAACTAAGAAACACGTGATAAAATATCAAAGGATAAATCAGTGACACAATGAAGCTGCCAATGCCAATGAATATCGTATAGCATCATCTTCGAATGGCAGCAAACCATTAGCACAACATAAACTCACAAACTCTACAATTAAGTTATGTTGTATCGTACAAAAGAAAATAAAAATAATTTGCAGCAGTTTGAGAGAGTTTCTGGTTCAAAGCTATGATTCAACTGCAGCACATGAATTGCACATTGTGAGTTTTGGCATGAATGGTGACAGCATTACGTATTATAATATACTAAATCTCATTGAGCGGAAAGATAGACTCATAGACATCGTTATTCAGGTCTCTGAGCAACAAAGGGAGAATTGGAAGTGCCTGGAGCTGTTTGAGGAGTGCTCTGTGTTCTGTTGTGGAGGTTACCAAGCTGCTGAATCCTCTGAACATAGCTCCTCTGCTGGTTCTTACGATGCTCCATCATCTGGTGGATGGGAAACAACATTGATATGAAATACATACACACTTAGGGGATCGATAATATGACACAAACATTTGAGCATAATTGTATATTAGAGATTTGAGATTTTCTCGTCCAAAAATGGACAAATGTAACAAATTCAACAAATTCTAAATGTATGCCTAGCTACGTATAGCTATACATGCAACACAGAAAAAATGCTCAGACCATTGTGTGTTTGCTAATACGGATATGATATCTGTAGACATAGTACACCCAGTCTTATAAAGAGTACAGCACAGAACGTCATGCTTCCCAACATAAACACATGTTTCTCCAGTCAATCCCGTGATCCAATAATTTCTATATAGACTCACTCTGTCTCTGAGTTCACTGAGTTGTGACGAGAGCTGTTTCACGACCTGATTGGTGTCGTTGAGTTGGTCTCTCAGCTCTTTCATCTCGTTCTGCTCCGTGTTCTCTGCCTCCTCGGTGTTCAGAGACATACAGCGAAGTCGAGGGAACCACTCCAAGTCTGGTGGACTTGTCTGCAATAGGAACATTCAAACTGTGACAATTGCGTAAGGGCGGTGTTTTTGCAAATGTGTAAAAAACCGTACCCTAAAAGAAAAGATTTTGCAGGGCACTTGTCTTACTTAAAAAAAGAAGCTAAGTATACCGTACTTGGGTCAATAAATTTGCTAAAATAAAGCTGCAGTTTAAAAAAGCGATGTTATGATGTATGTTGAACACAGTTCTTCTCTCACATTGATCATGTCGCTGACATAGCTCTCTGGACCAGTGAACTCAGTTGACTCCTTGGTCTTGATGTAGACAATGAAAAACAAGTAGTGCCACAGGCTGTGTTCGTGCTTTATATGCTCCTCAAAAGTCACCTCTTTGTTCTCAAACTTGACTCTCTCCAGCCCTAACATAATAGGCAATAAAATGGCCATGGTTTAACTTTTTGGAAGTAGGCCTGGCCTTAGTTGGAAATTTCATGCAACACCATGTCGAGCACTGCACATACCGTAATGTTCTAGATTCTAAATATGTGCAAAACATGCACGAAATATTGAACTGCTCGCGCTCGCTTGCAAACCATGCGTTGCATTCCTCTAGTACATAGGTAAGCTATTTTGTTTGAGATACAAAATGCTAAGCGCAAACTACCCTTTGGTTTTTCCTGGTTCTACTCCTGGTTGTACGTACAGCAGCCGTACCACATATGAAACATGTGTTTTTCAGCATCTCCTCTTTTCTGTTCTTCTCGGCCCTCAGGTCAGCAAAGGTGTCGATGATGACGCCAAAGATGAGGTTTTGAATGATGATGATGATGACAATCAAGAAGAACGACAAATCGTACAAAAATCTGACGAAAAACAATGGCTCCTGAAAAAAAGCAGAGATAATACATGCTATAATACTGGCATAGAGATTCAGTGTTGGTGAAAAAAATATGCTGAAGTATACGATCATGGTGATTTTTAACTTATGAAAGTGGCAAATGTATACATTGTAGTCTATAGAAACTTGGAAATACTTAAAGGGAATGTGTCAGATAGAAACTGGAGTGGCAAATGAATGGTAGTCTAGGGAAGCTTACATACTTTAAAAATTAATAAGTATCTTACCTGACTATGTGGTTTCCTGAGGACATCACTGATACCTCCACCAGCCCTCACTCCCTCTTTGAGTGTGGTGATGATGCACATGAAGAGAGTGCTACAACTGGACTCCATGTGTACTTCCCAGCCATTGTCAGGCTCTGTACACGACTCAGCTGCAGGTTATAGATACGTATTAGGGCTCAAAATTGTTTTGGTATGGAAACAGCACGGATGCTTCGCAACTTCTTTAGACATTTAGTGTAGATCCAACTGCATAATACCTAGCTATACCTTCAGTTAAGCATAATGTTCAGGTGTATCAGGAAGTTAATACTAAAAGTTAGGAAAAACGTATTAAACTTGGACATTGTAAGCAACAATAAGGTATATATAATATTTATATACTCACAGGTGCAAGACTGGAGGTCATTAGGGTGAGTTGGCATAAGGAAGTCCCCAGGGAAGAAGATGTAGCCAAAGATGGAGTAGAGAAAGATGAGAATGAGAGCCAAAATGGCCGTGAGGAGAATGGACTTGAGGTTTCGAGTCACACTCTTGATGACGTTACGCAGGGTGTCGTAACGTGCCACTATGTCAAACAGCTGCAATAGAATAAGAGTGGTTTGGTATACAATTCTCTCACGATTTTCATGGACACCCTCTGAAGCCTTGCAGGGAGGTAATGGTTAAGGCAATAAGCCAAAAATAATGAATTTCTGGCAGGGTAAGATCTTAAGTAAGCTTAATAACTACTCAAAGAGTATTGGAACAGACCATAGCATACTAAGATGAAAAAAAGACATTTTGACCAGTGTAGGTCATCAATACCTCCCAACTGCCTGGATGGTATGTATGTATACAAGTGGAAAAATCATTTCTTCAAAATGAAAGGGGGATATAGGGATGGCTTGAAGCACCAAAAAGGAAGAAACAAGGGGTCATTACACAGCAAAGATGCACAAAGCTACATGACACCATCCCTATATCTTTGTCTCATATTAAACTTTACTTCAAGGTAAACTGTTGCAGAGTGGAAATGACGGAGACGGCAAGCGCGGCTCTTTCCCAATTAGGGAGGAAAATGTCAGCAGGGCGAGATTGGTTGTGAACAATAACACAAAGATATAGGGATGGTGTCATGTAGCTTTGTGCATCTTTGCTGTGTAATGACCCCTTGTTTCTTCCTTTTTGGTGCTTCAAGCCATCCCTATATCCCCCTTTCATTTTGAAGAGAATGATTTTTCCACTTGTTTCCACTATTTTTCACGCCTTATGACAACACTGCATTTTCAGTCACTCTGATGTTCATGGGTGTTGTAGAGATAACTGTTGAAAGCAGAAGCTAATGGGCTGCTCCTACCTGAAGCAGGGTGTATGTGTAGTGTCTCCAACAAGGATGCAATTAGATTGTGGCACATATGGTGGGGGTGGTTTCATAGGCAGGCTTCAGTAATCAGACTACAATGATAGCTATAACCTGGGGGACAAAGAATGAAGGCGCCTGGCAAGGCACGCGTAACACGGCGCAGATTGCCAAGTTGCTCCTCGTGCAAATCAACAGCAAAACGCAAGCTAGCCACTTACAAATGTGCACACTGACTTACAGAAGGCACCGAAGGATGAGAGTAGTTTTCTCTGAAGGCATCCAGTCCTGGCTTAGTCTCGTTCGTGGACCAGGTTTACGAGACAAAGTGCGCGCGCGCCGCATTGGAAACGCCCTCCTCGGCGCATGCGGCTCACTGATGCTGAGTTAGCAACAAATGGCGTTGTTCAGTGACTACCGAGGAAGAGCTCAACGATCTACCGTAGTGACTTGCGGCAAGAAAGAAACGATCGCTTGATATGCATGCACACCTCCGGCAAATTCGGAGACGTTCTGTGAAAAAATCAACGCTTCAAGTGCTTCCGGTAAGGAGCTAGCGGGTCTGAAGAAGAAGAAGAAGAAGAAGAAGAAGAAGAAGAAGAAGATGAAGAATATGATGATGACACGAAAATCGTGAAATCGCGTATGAGTGAATTCTCGCGTGGACGACTGAAGGTGCGTATGAGGTCTTGGGGGATATGTATAGGTAGATATGGGCCCGTAGACTATTGCTAGTATATTTTGAAGGCCTAGGGAGTGATTCTCACCGAGATTTTAGTCGTTTTGTACGCGGATCACGTGAGATTTCACCCGTGTCGTCCCTATATAGAGAGTCTACCGACTCTCTGATAGTTATGTCGGTTCCCTTTATTAATACTACACCCTACGTACCAGGAAGGAGTATAGAAACTCGTGCACCATCCAGCCGAACAAACAGAGACTCAGGTAGAACCAGTGGTACAATAGTTCATTGTCTCCGACCACCACACGATAGAAGAGAGAAAATTGAGACGTTTTACGGTTGTGTAATATGCCTTTATTCAGGACCAGACTGAATATAAACACCAGTTTGTTCATCACCTGTAAAAAAAGCACACAAATGTGGAGCAAATAAAAAAACAAACTTATCAATGGCCCAAATTTGCACAACCACAGGAGAGACACAAGAAATGACAAAATGGCCTAAATTTGTTGTACTTTTAATGATGAACGACAGACCAACAAACCATCGTAAGTATCTCAGCTTGTGAGTGCAGTGCACTCTTGTCGTAAGTAGTAACCTTCGCCTAAATTTGTCTTATTTTTGCAAGTGTGGGAGAACAAACACAGGCCAACAATACCTAGACTATAGCTGAAGAGTGCAGTGAAACTAATAAAAGTTATTCCCAGAAGTGAGGGTAGTCTAAACTTGTTTATACTGGCAGTGATCGAAAAGTGAGGGGAAAGACAACATCTTGAATACATTGATTATAGCGAATGGTATAAAATGAGTTTGACCTGGAGAAAGCCGAGAACTGAGAAAGTCGGCTGAATTCCAAGAGTTATGACTGCCCTGACAATGGCCAATATCCCAACCAGCACCAGAACCTGCTTGAAGTAAGTCCTCAGATAAAGCAGAGACATGCAGCATGCTCCGAATACCAGCCAGAGTAACAGCGACGTCTTCAGCGATATACTAGCTACAATACAAGGAGAGAGAGAGAGAGAGAGAGAACTAGAGTGTTTGAGCAACATTAAAAGGTTACAGTGGTATTTCAGATACCAATTGGATGGGGAAAGTGCCCATATTAGTTATTTCAGGGGCTAAATTGAATGCAAGAACTGCTCTTGAGTAAAGCTATCAGGAGAGATGCTCTCACTTCAGGTGTGTACATTAGGAGGTGGTTCCACTGTAGGGTAGGACGGCGGCTTACCAACGTAGTCACTTCCTTTGTCAAAGGGGTAGAATAATGCCACCAAGAAGTTGATGGACATTGCGAGGTAGAACGCGATGCTGGACCAGGTCCTCATGTGATGTGCAATATCAAATGCAATAGGTTGCTCTGTAGGAGAAACAACATCAGCAGATAATATAATAGCTAGAGTCAACACCATCATCTTCCCTAAGACAAACTGATATCCATCGCTCTGTATTAATGCATAGGGCAGTGTGTGTATAGAGCTTTACGTTCCAAAGCCTGCTGACACATCATCTCATTGTGGAGATCCTCAATTTGGGTGAAAAAGTGGTCCACTTTGCTGCCTTGCTCGTTGCACTTTGTCTGCTGTAGCACGTCGTCCTTTGACTGGTCTGTCAGGTACTGACACTCCTGGGGCACCGGGAACACAATCTTCTCCAGAGTTCGATCCTTGCGAACAATCTGGGGAAGAAAAAATCAGTATTTTTCATTAAGGGAAAAACAGTAAAACACAAATGTATGTAAAATACACTACTAAGGACATTGGTCGATTTTGCAAGAAAAAGACACAAACTGTTTGTAAAATCAAACTGTAACGAAGAAATAAGACAGACAACGAAAGACAAGTAGAAAATCAACCATTTTTAAGTTCCCTGCCTCGATGACACTAATACATAATAATGGGATAATTGACTATCTGGTTGTGTTTGGTATATAATACCTCTATTTGTGCAGTGTGTTTCGTGTAGTAGTTGATAGCCTTGTCTCCCCATTTGCTATGGTCTGTCCACACACTCTTGAGGTCCTTCTTGTGCTGGGCCAGTTGGTAGGCCAGGATGTAGATATTGTGACCAACCTACACGTGGGGGAGACACACATTGTTGCTTGAGATTGTTTTCTCGATGGCTAATGGTCCATAATAGACATTATAAGGAATAAACTGGGGCTTGAAGTTATTGGGTGCTTTCAGAGAGCCATTCAGAAGTTATTACTGGTTCGTATTGGTCAAAAATTTGACCATCGAAGTCATGCACTTACAAAAAACAACATAAAAACCACATTCATAAAAGCATGTAAAACTCGGATATGCATCAAACAACCCAAAGAGAAATACAGAAAAATAGCTCAGTAATTTCAAGCAATCATTATAGTTCCTATAAAGATGGTGAAGTGTGTGCTTTACCTCCACATAGGCTTCTTCAGAGATGGTGTCAGTTGTTTGTCTTGCAGTGTACACTCTCTTGCACACATCCAACTATGCACACATCAGACAAAACTCGTTACAATCTTTACAGTGACAAATGAAAAGCACTAAAGTGCAAACCCTCGGCAAACTGTGCATGCGCGGTACCATTTACCCGCGGTCTCCCGCCGGTAGCTCGCGGACTGACGCGGAGAGTCTGACACGGGCTAGCCATGGTAGTAGACAGCATGTGGGAGTCGATACACGCCGTCGCTGCGGCTTCTTGTGCCTCCAATGTACACAGAGCAAGCGGATCAGGTCGAGGTGAGCCCGTTGATCGCGTCTAATACACGCATGCGCACCACCAATTGATGGGTTGGGCCATGCTACGTGGTCTGGGACTGTGCCAGTTTCTCGCGCTCGAACGCTGTCATTTCAGAAAAATCGCCATTTTATTTTTCATGCGCTTGTAGCACTGAAGCATTAGGTATCGCTCTTAGGCCGCCTCGTAGCCTGTAGTGCGAGAATAGTCGTGGACACACAGACCAACTACTGTAACCCTCACTGCGCATGTGCGCCGAGGGTTAATGAGAAGGAGCACTCACCAATAGCTCGGGGTTCCCAATCTTCATGTAGATCCTCTCAACTATCTCCATGTCCTGGTGGCTCTCCATCACCGACAACAAAGCCTGACTGGCACTGCTCTGTGGGTATATTAAGCCGATTGAGTTATGTATATACCTGGTCACGTCTCACTGGCTAAATAAATAGCCACAATTCTGGCTGCTATATATGTTTGCTGAGTTATCCAATCTCAACCCATGTGTCATGGAGGATGCACCAATACTAATTGTGGTACAGTTCTTTGGTGAATTTCAGTCCAAGAGAAGCTTTAAAGCCCCACTTGCTATTTGTATCGGAGTATAACTACATTGCTATTCGTATTACGATGGAGAATGTGTACGCACCTTCAGTTCGAGAGCCAGTTCTGGCTGCTCCTCCAGAGCTGGTAGGTCAGTCTGAATGATGGAGACCATGATGTCTATACCACTGGACTCATTGGACGCTATGCAACGCTGCAGTGATAAACAATCAATATACAAGCATTAAAAAATCCTGCGAATTTTAAAAAAAGGAGGAGTATCTATGGTGCTAGGATATTAATTACTAGGAGTAACATAATATCATACCTAATATACTTTGGTTATTTTATGCAGTGACCCATAATTATTATAATGTAATGTACCTTATGTTCTCTTTGTAGGTGGCCATTAAGCTTTATACAAAAAACCGCTAGATTGAGGCCTAGGTATTATATTTGCAAATAGGCGTTTTCGAACATAGGTGCACTTCTAGCTTTAGCTGTCAGAATAAGTGAGTTCCAACAATTGATACAGCAAAGTAGCTCACCTGGTTCTCATGACAGGGACCCTGGCAGTACTCAGTCAGAGTGACTAGACACTGGTTGATGAGAGAGGCATTATTGGCGTTGATATAGAGACTCAGCAACATGAGGCCGCCAGTGCTGACTCCACAGATGGAGTCCAGGAGGTGGAGCGTGTCTGCTATGAGGTTGTAGGGAGTCTTGCTGTTGGTCTGATGTCGAAGATAGTTCTGTGGAATAACAGGGCGTCAATGAAAGGCAAGTACAACCAATCCCAAGACAAGACTGTGGAAAAGTACATTGATCAATTTCCAGTTCCAGTAAACCTTGCATCTGTAACCTCGAGTAAAAATGACAAACAAGTGACAAACAAGGTTAGGAGACAAATGAGAGCATGCGCTCAAGATGGAGAAGGAGGCATTAAGATGAAATTATCCGTGGGAGGAGATGGGGGGAAGCAATAAATAAAGGTGGCATGCGTTGATCCTTTCCTTGTGATTGACACTCTTCTGTATCTTAGATACGTTTGATAGATAGATACCTGCATCTCTCTGTGGTGGTTCTCACAGAGCAGCTGCAGAAACCGGAGCAACGGTTTCATACACTGGAGTTCTGGGGTCATGTTTGCCCCGGCAACCACACTCAGCTGATTGGCGAGCCCCTTCTCCGGGGAGGAGCTAACAACGGAAGCACGGCGACGAGATCGGGACGTCTGTGTACTGGTCATGGCGGCCACAAAACTCAACTGGTCCTGTGAGACACATACGGAGAAGAAAGCAATCATACGAAGCATCTTGCAGCAACAAGGTTCATAAATTGAACTGTCAGGTTGAAAGTAGCTACTGTACACAAGGCGGCTGCCTGCAACAAGTTAGTAGAAACTAATGCAGAAGCAAAAAAGTATCACTCAATTGTTGCGCTAGCTAAAATATGAATTTGAGCCCTGAATTTCATTTTCGCTAATCTTTGCACTTATTGGCGAGCGAAGCAAGCCTACCTAGTCGTTTTCAATTGGGAAACTTTTCGATACAACTATATATTGGTCGGCGCTATCACTGCCGTAATGTTCTACGTGATTCTAAATACGCGCAAAACACGCGAAATATTGAACTGCTCGTGCTTGCTTGCAAAATGCGTGGCATTCGTTCCAGTATCTATGGATGCTTGTACACACAGTATTACTTTTGTAATATATCCTGGGATTAAAATGCTGATTAAGTGAGGCATTCAATATGCTCAAAGGCAACTTACATGCAAGTCGCGGGTGGACAGCTGAGTCACCAGAGGTTTGCTGCGGCCACCGGTACTAGAGGTCAGCGGCAGGACTAGTGGATCCTCCGTCCGTGGCACCGTACACAATGTCTCCCTCCTGCTGTATCACAAGACCCATGCTCTTTATCTCCTGCTGAGAGGTCTCGAAGTGGTTGTAGATCTCCTGGAAGAACTTCTCGGAGCTGGGTTCGCTGAGTTTCGTCCACAGAGAGCTCTGTATAAGTACGGACCGCAAGTGCGAAGCAAGTGAAAAGTAAACGAATCAACGACATGACAACACAAGAAAAAAAGAGCTGCTCTGACAACCCGCAATACTCCATATTATTCCATCACGGGTGTTACTTGTATCCAAAGGCTCTGAGTTTTATTTATTTATGAAGGTACATAGGGTTAATGGACCGCATGCTGCTGACCTGGACGGTTCTGTTGCCACCATTCAGAAGTGCCACACCCAGCAACATTGCTTCCAGAAACACTGGAGCCGGAGGACTAGTCATTATCTATAAGAAATCATACACGTCACTATCATACTACTACGTATTATGCATAACAGTAACAACAACAACAACAACAACAACAACAAGCGAAGTCCACAGAATATAGACTGAGACACTAACACGTTTCAGGCAAAGCCAATATGTAAGTTAAACAAGTGCAGGTTTGATTCCTATATACCTGTTTGATGACCAGCTCTGCCATGCCATAGTCCTTCAGTTTGTTTTGTATGGCCACCAGATTAAGAACCTCAGGTGAAGTATCCTGCAGCAGACACATGGGTGTAATATATCCTTTACATAATGTACACATCGCGCATGCACATTTACACATGGTCTTTGCGTAATGTATCGTACAGTAAGCCCTTATGGTTGTTATGTATGTTAATTGTAGCCCTTCTGAAGGAAGCTTGTACTTTTGTAATCCTGGGATTAAAATGCTGATTAAGTGAGGCATTCAATATTCCTTCTGAAGTCCTGCTTTCTTGTATATAGCGTGAGCTGTTCAGTTTTCATGAGTTGAGCCAACAACTGTAAACCCACTAACAAAAACACCAATGGCACAGAAGAAGGTGTCCATACTGTTCGACTTTTATCTTACCTCTACAGGTAGAAGAGAAATTTCAACATTGCAGTAGGTTCTCAGTAACTTCACCCTCAGCTGAACACCCTGGCAGTACCATAAAACTCAAAATCACAACATATCCATGGACAAAAACACTCTATTCTCATCATTTCAAAACAGTGATCTTTAGCAAAAATGGACAGAAATCTTTAATGGTATACATATTATGTCAAACTATACAAAAGACTGGTTGGCCTATAGCTTTCCTGGACAGTTTTTAACCCAAAATGTCACAGGGAAAAATATCATGGTTCCAACACACCAAAATATAAAAATACACCAAGGTTCACAAGACAGGGATGACCTAGTGTATGTGATGCATTAGTACAGTGGGATGATGGTTACATCTTCAAACTGACATTGCTTGCTCGTGTAAGGCTCTTACATATCTCAAAAATTCAACAAAGGTCTCTCCTTTAACCCTTAGCAAACCACGGGCATATATTATATATATATATATATGCCCAGAGCCTCCATCAGTCCATAAAAATGCTATAATACTAGGCATTAATATGTTATACATCAATTTCTGCTTTTTAAGGAGATACCCATGGCGTGCAAAGGGTTAAAAGTTCCCTGTATAAAATGTGAGGTCTTACACTCTCGTCAAGATCGACTCTCTTTTCAAGCATTCCTCTGAAGTTCCTGAGGACATAGACACTCAGCTCCTCATCACTTGCAAATACCTCACTGTCCATGTGCTCTATTAGACTGAGAGAGGGAGAGATAGAGGGAGGGAGAGAGGTAGAGAGGGAGGAGAGAGAGAGAGGAGGAGTAGGTGAGAAAGCAAGATGAGTGGATTTTTAGCCCTGCATACAGTACGTAGCATAATGTTGGTTGTAAGCAAAAAGTATTTCAATAGGGTATGATGGGGCCATAAAACACATATTGCCATAGACTCCAACTTGTGGTTTCAAACATCATAACCCTATTGAAGCTCTATGAATTTTGTCTCACGCAAAAATTGCACTGTGTATGTTAATTGTGTTAATAATGCGCGTGACATCTCTTGTGCGACCTTACCTCTTGCAGAAGGTGTTCATGGCCTTGTGGTAGGGTTTGCTGTCAAAGGTGAAGAGGGACTGTGGAGAGTGGAAGATGTCCACCAGAACACTCTGCTCGGCCAGAGTCAGACTCTGCCACTGCTCTCCAAGGTGAGCCATCACGTTCTGTGGTAACAACACATTGGTAGCCTGAGGATTGCAGTATGTACTTTTGTAGGTGAGCTGGGAAAGAACCAACCTGAGTGTATAGTACACGACGGCGATTGCGGGTGGAGGACGCCATTGTGTGTTACTACGTGTGGATGCTAAGTCTGTGTAAATTGGAGTGACTTCCCGCTTGAGTGCATAAAACCGCGATATTTCGCAACCGTCACCGGCTGTGCGCGCTTTTACATGCATTATTTAAAAAGGGTAGGCAGTGGAAGTCCATGTGAGGATATATACCTCACCGTCCAATAAACTCCGCATGGAGGTATATACAGTACATACCACATTGTATATAACTTCCTTCACTCCAGTACTACTACCTCCCACGACTTACATATAATTGCATAAGCCTATGTGCGTATATTTATTTGTACTTGCCAACTAAAACTCAGGCCCTCCTTTGCTGAACCTGCTCAATTTTCACTAACTATGTATACATTGAGCAAATTCGTACCACCAGTTTTCCCAACTACAGTGACAGAGCTAATATATTCTCACGGTGGCTCCATCTATGATAGTTCTGTTGATGTTATCCTGAGGTCCAGTCAGGTTAAGCTGCGTTGCTTTCTTCTTCTCCAACACCCTGTTCTTCCACAGCAGCCCTTTCGTTCTTGCCTACAACACAAAATAACTCTCCGTAAAAGGGGAACATGGCAGATCTTATAAAGGTAGAAAATGGAACATTGGCATTCTTGCCCTGAGGCCTATTGCGTAATCTATGTAATACCCATATTTAATGCCACATTCCCTTCAATACTTCACAACGTTCATCTGCCCTAATTTCACAAAAGTTGAACAACAATACCACTAAAATTGCGTGTCTATAATACTACCCTTCTCTGTAATAATTTTTGTTATCTTGGTTCTTACCCCTCTCGATGTGGACATGGCTTGGATGTTGTCACTCAGTTTTCCAGGTAGAACAATCACCTCCTCTTTACCTGACGTGGAAATGTACACATCAAAACACCTTAAGGCATCGTAACAGTACATAGGCCCAACTCGATCAGTTGACTATAGGGATGAGATTTTTCTACTTTGTAAACATGACAATATTGCACCTCCATGTACAACTTAGAGGGATTTCATAGAATTATGTATTTATAAATTTATAATTGTCCCAATAAACTTATATACACATAATTGGCAACTTTCAATGGGAAAATTCTTGGTTGAGTGAAACGTGCAAAAAATATTAACCACACCTCCTAATTAACCTGCCGCGCCCACTAAACAATGACACTGCCGTTTGTTGAGGATTGAAGTCCAGTCTCGTGTACTCACAGCATTTGTGGAGAAGTTTGATGCAGCGATCAAGTGTCTCTCTCAGGCTGTCACTCTCCTGTTCCTGTACAAACCGACTCATGAACAGAGCATACATCCTCTCCACCAGATCCTGCAGAGTCTCTCTGTGAGCCTGTGCATAGGGTGAGAGGTTTCCGTGGTAATAGAGAATGTGGTTCAAACAGAAAATATTTTCGTTGGGACAAATACACAGCCTTGAATTCAAAAGTGCAATTTATTACTGTTAAAAGTACAATCAGTCTGGGTACACGCACATGTCAGAATTCAAAGTGAAACAAATGCCTCTATAAGAGATATTTTAGCGTGTTAGCACTTGCTATACGGTATAAGGTTATTGTTTGTGCTAGATATCATTCAGCCATCACCAAACCCTTCTCCTATACCGCGAGGGGGTGTATCAACCCTCAGCTGAGGTCCTGACCTGTACTTTGAGGAGGGCGGAGATCTGACCGGACTCAAAGAAGGTGTACATGACCGTTGGTATGTGGACAGTGACGTAAGTCTTCAAGTCAGGGTCTACCGGGGTCAGTGGTCCTGCCTTCACAATCTATAGCCATATAGAGAAACAGTGTATTGGAATTTAGAAATGCCAGCTTGTGTTTAATGCCATCTTTTACATACATATACATATGTATGTTAGTTGGACAAGAAAGGCGAGATTACCGGGCTCAATGGGACGGACTATAGTGTGGACTGAAAACAGAATGCAGAAATTATGTTAAAGGATTTCTCACGTTCAATACACACATGTGTCAGATACATGCAAAGTGGCTGATAAACGAAGCTTTTATGTAAGGTACGTGTAAGGATGCACTACATGCACGAAAAAGCTAGTAGAAAGAGGGCAGCTTTTAAAAAAACAGTATAAATAGGGTTGTATACATGTACCTATGTTAATCATATAAAAATCAGTGTAATCAGACCTTGGTAATGTCAGTGCAACAGGAGTTAAACAGACTCCACATGTGGTCTTTTGCAAAAGTCTCCTTATTGTCCAGTCCACAGTCCACGTAACAGCTGTACAGCAGTCGGATGTACACATTCTTAACCTGAACAGAACATTAGTTTTGTGCCTTTAGATCCACAGTATATGTGACAGTGTCATAATACATACACACATCATTCCATTCCAAGAACAGTTCTTGCATCCACAGTATATGTGACAGTGTCATAATACATACACACATCATTCCATTCCAAGAACAGTTCTTGCATCCTCAGTATATGTGACAGTGTCATAATATACATGCACATCATTCCATTCCAAGAACAGTTCTTGCATGTGATTTAACTCATGGAAAAAGGACACCTCGCAAATATGGACACTTTATTCCGTGCCACTGGTGTCCAGATTACAGGGGATCCATGGGTCAGCTACAGAGGAGATTGGACATGGTGAAATTTCATGTGACCAACTCGCACAGCGTGGAATGCAATTAGGCACGTTTAGCCACAGTGTGCTTTGCGAGAAGGGAGAATTTATGGCACGGAAAGAAGGAATTTAATTACACGCTGGATCACGATACGGTGTCCAACCTCCTCTGCGTCAGCTACCATGTCCAACCCCCTCTGGGTCAGCTACAATGTCCAACCCCCTCTGGGTCAGCTACTGACCTGAGGGATGCAGTCGGGATGAACCAGGACTCTGACTACCTCGTCCATTGGCAGGAGAGAGTGACATTTGATCTCTGTCGTCACGTTCCTGCCCTCAGTACACACACTGAGAAGGTCCACCAGGTTTATATGGTACAGCAGATCCTCTGTAATGGAGTAACACTTGTAACATGTACTATATATATTCAAAGATGCTGTGAAGGTTTATTTAATGAGCGGAAAAATTTCAAAAATCTTACTTGTCTGTGGTGAAGGAATAGACATATTTTTAAAAATATAAAACGCTGAACTGCAATCGTATTTCCCAATTCAAAGAATATTGTACTAAGTAAACGAACACGTGTGTTTTGGCGAGAGAAAGAGAGAAAGAGAGAAAGAGGGAAGACGAATATATATTTTTGGTGAGGAAGTGCAGGAGATGAAGCCATTGAAATAATACAAGTGGGGGAAGAGAGAGGCAGAAAGGGATCGAAGGTACATAGGTGTATAATTATACAAACCTGACAGTGAGCCGTCCATTTTCATCAATCCCACAAGTGTGTTGAAGGAGTTGTCGTTGTAGAAGAGGAGAACCTCGTCTCCAGCATTAGCCAACTGAAACAGTTAAACAACAGACTAATGTTAGGTATACTAAAAAAATGGTTAACAATTCTCAAAAAAGAGACACCAGGCTGAAAGATAAACATTTTAAATATCACACAGTTACTCCATAGCTTAAACTGCACATCATTCGAAAATGGATACATACGCAGGACCTCGAAATTTAAAAAATGGCGCAATTGAAAATAAAAACAAAAATAAGCAGTATGAAAAGGGTTACAAACTGCCCTGATGTTCATAACAAAAATTTGGTTTAAAAATCTAAGAAGCTAAAAAGTTGTTTGAAAGTGCAACCATAATGCTACTGACCTCGTTCATGACCATGTCTTGTATCTTGCTCTGTTGACCTTTGCCCTGTTGACCCTTGCCGGCTCCCTGGACCACAGTCTGGAGGAACTGGAGGAACTTCACGTGTCGTTTCTTCTCAATGCAGTTGATGAAATACTGGACTTCAGTCTCGGTCACCTTGCAACACAGATGAGGATTGTCTCGGAATATCTCTGTCAGAGTCTCCGCCTCAACCACCTATTATGGTAAAAACACACGCAATAAGCAATGTAACACATTTGATCAATCCACACAGAACTCTACCACAGCAAGGGTATAGCGACAGGAGGTGAATCGCCTGTAAAATCGATGCTTTAGAACACTAAACTAGGAATGCGCACGCGCATATTTTGCCTCGCGCCTGCCAGCCAATGCGTAAACAGTCCGACTGAGGCCGCTCGTGCGCGCGCTCTACTGACTGCGCGCAAAGCAAAGCGAATCTGCACGCACGGCGGAAGCTAGACTTCCTACGAATGATGGAAGTTGACACTTCCTAAGCGTGACTAATTGACATTCTTAAGCGTGACCGACACGTACGTAGGTATGTATGCATATCGCGAGAATACAACCCGGAGTAGTTGCCTCACGCTAACGCGCTCGGTAATTATATAACAACCACCACCTATTATAAGTGAAATACATAACTGTAATGCACAATACAACAATTATTGCTTAATCCATCAGTCATGTTTTGCAGATGAGAGACGACTGTCCGCCTATTTTTATCCAACCCCACCGCTGAAACCCCTAATAGAAACTCACGCACTATTAGGAGGCATCATGTGCGCCGATTGGGCACGTGATGTGCTGTGGCAGGCACCGTGGGTACTGTGCGACCATACATTGTAAATGGGCGACACCTGAACATCGGGGTTGTGTTGATGTTATTGCGACGTGACTACGCGGGAGGCCGGGGCCCGGATGTGCGGGAGCGGGCGCCGTGGCGGTTGGGCGCCAATACAGCGGACCTGGGCATTCATAACTTCGAGGTCTCTCAAGATCTGTAATACGAACTGTGCCTTATTACATTCCGCCAGGACTAACTCAGGACACTCGGGAGCAATTTTTGCAGATGAGAACGAGTGGGACGGACAAGCATTTTGACTGACGGACCGGCCTCAAAGCAACCCTGACTTATTCACGCGTAGTCTTGAGATGTGCGTGCTGTGATGTTCGCGGACTGTATTTTGAAGTGGGACGCCAACCGTTGTGTACCGTGATAGATTTCCTGGGGGCAACACGTCAAGCGGCTGCGGATGACAAAGGCCCTCCAGGATGGGGTGGGACACATACTATAGTATAATCACCAGCTGCACGCGCCGTGCTCAGCCCAGCAGAGGAACGAGGACGAGCGAGGAGGTTCTGTTAATGTGTCCCGCAGATCGATGCGTGCAGGGTATCGTGACCTCACACCAAAAAAGATGCACACTGCGGATATGTTTACGAGAGGACGAGTCAGTTCCCTAATGCGTGCGGGCTCAGGAGGAGCCAGTGTTGCACGGGCGCAGAAAAGGCATAACTTGAGGCCGCCACAGACCTCGGGCATCCGCAGTGGCTTTGTTGCGCTGGTGCAGTACATGCAGCTCAGCACGCACCTTCCGGTCAAAGAGTACATACATCCTGAGAGGTTCGGCATCTAAAACACATGCTGTATGACATGGGTCCTGCATGTGGCAGGCCGGGCCCTTTGGGGAAGCTCCTTTCGGGCTCGGACATATCGGATATTGTAATCGGGCTCGCCGGGGCATGCGCCCTAACTGCATTATGAGTCCTCATCAAAGGCAGTCGCCCGCGCCCTCCCACACGTCGTCTATGAGCAGCCCATGCCGCCCTTGGATATTGCATCCCGCTGATGCATTCGTCTACACTGTATGGAGCTGAGGGCGCCCATGTTGCCCGTGCTGCTCATCATGTCATAGCTCGATGCGTACTTTGAGGGTCCAGATTGCACCCTTCGGCCACAGAGTCCACAAATTTTTTTCCCGCTGTGGTGTATGCAGCGATATCTCTATCTCCTCTGGGATGGCCCTCTGCAGCCGCATGAGGCTCCTGGCGGCCAAACGCACATGTCGTCCCGCAGGCCCCGGGGGTCTAGGCTCATGTCAAATATCACCCTGTCATCTGCTGTCCGGCGACATCTTCAGTGTGGCCCGCCGGGGCGGGCCTTGTCGCTCCTTGACACGACCACGTTGTGCGGGTCTATGCGCACCTGCGCCCCGTCTGGTTCTGACGATATTATGGCCGACGCGGCGGCATCGCTGAATATGAGAAAGTATATCATACTGTAAAAGTCGCCCCGGCTCTTTCTTGTGATGTGCTTGATCTGCTTTATCCTGTCCAGGAACCACTCCGTATAGCCGGACCCATGACTAGTAGCACGTCCCCCCTGCCGCCCATGGCAAAGTGCCCCGCCGAGTTCAGAGGGACTCCGGAAGCGCCGAGCACGCAAGCCCCTGCAGGTTCTGCGCCCTTATGTCGTGGCGCAGAGAGAGCTGCGGCACCAAACTCGCGGCGGGTGCCGGATCCAGGTATTGGGGATTGTCGTTGACGGTAATCAGCATTCCTATGCCGGACCGGTCCATTCCGCCCAGGGATGCGCTGGCGGCCTGCCGGTACAGCCCGTCCATCGCGATGTGGGGCTCCAGATACCGGTCGCTCCCAAAGTCCACCCTTGACAGATCGTATGACTTGTAAACGTACTCAATGCCCAGCCGGCTCTTGGCATACTCCCTTGCCTCCCTGTCCATTTTGTCCCGCAGCATGTCGTCCACAATCTCCGATATGGAATAGCGGAACGGCGCCTTGACCACCGAAATGCCCGAGAGCCACACCATCCGCCTACAGCCCCCGCAGCAACGTGTCCAGGCCCTCAAAGAATGCGTCGTCATACCTGTCAGGCGGAAGATCAAAGCCCAGAACCAGCACGTCGGCCTCCGACTTTTGGGCCATGCCGCGTATCGCACGGGCGCAGGACTCGGGGGTGCCCCATACCGCCTGCACTTCGTCCAACATGCGGTCGCCCACCATGCGTGCCCCGCCCCGCACCCCTTCTCTGACGTATGCGTCCCGTATGCTGGCAACGTCAAACCCCGCCGCGGCCAGGGGCTCGCCATAAAAGCCGTTTGCGCCCAGATATCCGGCAACGGTCGTTTTTACATCCATATGGGCGTCATGCGCCGGGCCGCGACTCATGGATACGGGAATGATGGACATTATGCCAAATTCCGGCGGCGCCCCCTCCCGGATTGCCCTGACGTGCCCTGGCATGTGTGAGCGCGGCTTGAGAAAGAAGATGACGCCGTCGGCGTTCTGCATGGCGAGCCGCAGCGTCCTCTCGCCCACCGCGGCCCAGTATATGGGCCCCGTATACCCATGTTCCCGGAGGCTCCTGGTATATGACACAAGACGGGATACGGGCCTGCGAAACTCCATCTTCCACATGCCCTCTACAACAACCGGCGCGCTTGTGCCGATCCCCAAGATGAACCGCTCTCCCATGGTGCAGTGGATGCGGAGCGCCTGATCTAGCATGTCCGCACTGGTGCGGGAAAACACGCTGATTACGCCGGTGCCCACGCATGCGCGGCTTGGGAGCCCTGCCGATACCTCCAGTATCATGTCCAGCGCATCGACCCCCATTATGTGCGGGTGGGTCTCGGGAACCAGAAAGTATCCCGCATAAGATCCTGCCAGTCCGGCCGCCCTCCGCACGGCCTTTGCGGGGGCCCGTATGCCCAGCTCTATCCCTATTCTGGCCCCGGACACGACTCTGCGTCCTCCTGCATGCGTGCTGCGGTGGCCGCCGCGTCGGCAAGGGCCTCCGGCAGGGTGGGGTGCGCGTGTATGGTGTCGACCACGTCTTGGGGTCTGAGGCCCATCCTTATGGCCAGCGCCGCCTCGCCTATGATCTCGCTGGCGTGCGCGCTCACTATCAGCGCCCCCCGCAGTGTACCGTTTCTGGCATACACCCTGACAAACCCCCGGGTCTGCCCCAGGCAGTTTGCCTTTGCACTGGCGGCCATCTGCACCGTGGCCGCCTGGCCCTCCAGCCTTCCCACCATGGCCACCTCTGGGTACGTGAACACGCAGTAGGGTACTGTGGTGTAGTCTATCTGGGTGTGTCGGCCCAGCATGTTCTGCGCCGCGACTTCCCCCTGACGCGTGGCCACATGCGCCAGCTCGTATACCCCAGTAACGTCGCCTACCGCATATATCCTGTCTGCGCTGGTCTGCATTCTTGCATCCACGGCTATCCCCCTGTAGGTATATTTGACGCCCAGCATATCGAGCCGGTCTGCGTCCAGAGCCGGGTATCTTCCCACACAGGCCAGTATGGCCTCGGGGTCTATCTCGTCATTCCCCACCGCAATATGGCCGTCGTGTGCGTTTGCCGTGGAGCCGGTGAATACCGATATGCCGTCCAGCTTCATGTACTTTTCTATTGTATCCCCCACCACCTTTGGCTGCCCAGGCAGGAGGGATCCTTGCGCTTCGGCCAGCCACACCCTGCAGCCCAAGGCATTCAGTATGGACGCAAACTCGCATCCGCTATACCCTCCTCCTATGACCAGTATGGATTCGGGGAGACTCTGCATCTCAAGCACGGAGTCGGTGGTAAGCGTGTCATATCCTGCCAAATCGACGGTCTTGGGCCCGCTCCCTGTCGCCAGCACCACATTGCGGGTCTCGTATCGCGCCCCGCCAACCTCTACAATGTCGGGCGATATCACGCTGGCCTCCCCGGATATTGTGTCCACGTTGTGCTGTCGGAGCTGGAGCCGCATCCCCGAGGCAATCCTGGATATTGTGCCCCTCATGCCGGCGCTCAGCATGTCATAATTGACGCTTATGGTGCCGTCCCCTATGCCGTGCCTCTTTGCGGCCCTCGTCCTCCGGGCCAAGTCGCCCATCGCATGAAGATACTTTGTAGGGATGCATCCTCTCTGGGTGCAGGTGCCGCCAAGGCCGTTCCGCTCTATTATGCACACCCTGGCGCCGCCTTTGGCCAGGCTCATGGCGCACGCGTAGCCCCCGGGCCCGGCCCCCACAACTATGGCGTCATACATGGAAGGAGGTCAATACAATATGCAATAAATATTGCGAGGGCGACGGCGCCCGCCAAAGGCACCCGGAACGCCAACCGCCCTTCCGGTACGCAGATTCTCGTGTTGGGATCGGATTTCTGTGGCACAGGGTTTTCTCATTGTGGCCGCCCGTGGCCCTTCCCCCGACCTGCCGGGGGGGGGGCTCGTTTTGCTGCATCTCTTGGGGCGCGGGCGCCCCAACGCTGTGCGGGTGCGCATCTACACGATTTGTCGGCACCGCCTTGCATGGGGTTGGGCGAGGATCTGCCTCTTTCTGCCAGCCGCTGGTTTTTGCATTCCTTGCAGCCAGTGTCGTGCCTGCGGGACGCAGCCATGGTGCGCATGGCGGTCGGGCCCCCGTGTGGCGGGCGCGCCCGCAGGTGCGGTTTCCGGCATTGCCGGGCAGGGCAGCCCCTGCCGCCGTGCACTATCTCCTGTGCGTCCACGACTCTTGGGAGTATCTTGCAGCCATTATCCTCCTGCATTCTGTGGTGTCCTCCCGGGACAGCGACATGGTGTCCAGCTCACAGCCAAACGCGTCCTGCGCGCCCCTCTTTAGCGCCTCGGTGGTCTGTCCGAATGTACGGCCTATGCCCGCCACCCTCTCCTTCACACCCGCAATGGCCTTGTCCCGTATCTTTGCGGTGGGCACGTTGAGCAGCGAGAACATCTTTTCCACATCCACATCCAGCAGTATGGTGCCGTGCTGCAGCAGCGCGCCACCCTTTCTTGTCTGGGCATTGCCGCAGACCTTCCTCCCCTTTACGGTGACATCGTTGAGCGGGGAGAACGATGCGTCCAAACCCATGCGGCCCAGCCCCGATATTACCATGTCGCATATGCCCCGGTATGATGCCATTATGTCTGAAGGAAACCTCCCGGTGACCAGCGAGTATGTAACCTCCATATCGTGAAACACCGCTCCCCCGCCGGTGATTCTCCTTACAACATCCACCCGGCTGTGCTCGCACCGTTCCAGATTAACCTCCTCGCGCGCTCCCTGAAAGTAGCCTATCGTTATGCATGGCCGGGACCAACCGTATATCCGTAAAACGGTGTCCCCGGAGGCGCCATACCTGTAAAGGAGGCACTCATCGACGGCCATATTCCACGGGCCTGTGCCAAAGCCGGTCTCCAGTATCTTGATGCGCTCAAACCTTATGGCGCACCGCCTCCCGCATCCAATATTGCCCCCGCCAGCGATTCCTCGTCAAACCCAAAGCACCGGGTACCGGCAAGGGCTGAGGAGATTCTCTGCCTCAGGGTGTCCCTTTTCAGCTCTGCCCCCCGCAGCCCCATCTCCAGGCCCTCTATCGCGTCCTCCGGATGCATGAAAAAGTCCCCGGTTATCCTTATGGACCTTATCGTGCGGGATTGGCGGGAATAGTCCAGCCTTATTCTCACCATCTTCTCCAGCTTTGCCGTATGTTCGGTTACAACCGTGCTGTCCCGGTCATGGTCCATGCGTCATCCCTCCGGGGGCTTCCAGCGCAGGTCAAGGCGCCGCGCGGCCATCACCTCGTCCAGCCTTCCGGTGGCCGTGGTGTGGGGCGCGCCGTCGAGCATGTCCGGATTCTGGTCCATCTCGCTCGCTATCGCTAAAAACGCGCCGGCAAGCCGGTCCAACGTCTCCTTGCTCTCCGTCTCGGTGGGCTCTATCATTAGGGCCTCCTTTACTATGAGCGGAAAGTATACGGTGGGCGGGTGGAATCCATAGTCGATCATCCTTTTTGCCATGTTCAGGGCGCTCTTCTCGCCAAACCTTCTTGCAGACACCACAAACTCGTGGGCGCACCGCCGGTCATACGGCACGTCAAAGCTCCCCCTTATGAGGCCCAGAAGGTAGTTTGCATTGAGTAGGGCCGCCTCCGAGACATTCACAATGTCGGATCCCCACGATTTGATATACGCCAGGGCCTTGAGCATGACTCCAAAATTTCCATAGAACGAGTGGATCCTGCCGACGCTCTTTTCGTGGTTGTGGTCTAGATCAAACGTGGGGCCGCTGTCATGCCTCACAACCCTTGGCACCGGCAGGTACTCCTCAAGGAATGATCTGACTCCCAGGGCGCCCCCGCCGGGCCCGCCGCCGCCGTGCGGGGTGGAGAACGTCTTGTGCAGGTTCAGGTGCATCATGTCAAACCCCTGCTCCGCGGGCTTGCTGATTCCCAGCATCGCGTTCATGTTTGCCCCGTCGCAGTACAGCAGTGTTCCGTGCTTCCTTGACAGATCCGTTATCTCCTGAAGGTGCTCCTCGTAGAACCCCAGCGTGTTGGGGTTTGTGATCATCACCACGGCCACGTCGTCCCCTATGGCCTGCCGGAACCCGTCCAAGTCCATGTTTCCGCGCTCGTCACTGCGTACCGTTACGGTCTGGAACCGGCATGTGGCGGCAGTAGCGGGATTCGTTCCGTGCGCCGAGTCCGGAATTATTATTCGGGTGCGCCTCTCGCCCATGTCCGCAAAGTATCTCTTGGCGATCATGACCCCCAGCAGCTCCCCCTGGGAGCCGGCGGCAGGCTGGAGGCTGAACGCGTCCATGCCGGTGATCTCCTTGAGGGCCTCCTGCAGTTCCCACATGACCTCCAGCGCGCCCTGCGCGTGGGACGGCGGGGCGCGGGGGTGCATGCCTGCGAATCCGGGGAGCCGGGCCATATCCTCGTTTACGCGCGGGTTGTACTTCATGGTGCACGAGCCCAGCGGATATATGCCGGTGTCTATTCCGTAGTTTTTTCTGGAGAGCTCCGTATAGTGGCGGATCACCTGCAGCTCGCTCACATCCGGCAGGGGCAGGCATTCCCGTTCCGGAAACCGGTCTTTTATGCCGTCTTCATCCGTGTGGACGTGTCCGGTGCTTGCTTGGTCGTAATCAAAGATAAGCTTCGTGGGCGCAGTCCTGCCGCGTGCGGTCATTGCAAGGAGGCCTCCTTCGCATACGTCTCCATGTCCGGCATGGTGTTCTTTTCTGTGCAGCATATAAGCAGCCTGTAATCGTCCACTGCGATTCCTCCCAGTATGCCGTACCGCTGTAGGCGTTCCAGTATGTCCGCCGCGGGCCTTGGCGTCTCTACAAGAAACTCGTTGTAGAACGGGCCCGGCGTTATGGTGCGGAACCCCCTTGTGTGCAGCATTTGCTGTAGCCGGTGCGCCCGACGGTACGAGGTACGGGCAACCGACCGAAGGCCGGTCCTTCCCAGCAGGGCCAGGTATATGGTCGCAGACAGCGCCAAGAGCGTCTGGTTTGTCGTTATGTTGCTGGTGGCGCGTTCCCGCCTGATGAACTGCTCTCTTGCCTGTAGCGTAAGAACAAATCCCCGCCTGCCAGACCCGTCCCGGGTTGCGCCCACTATCCTTCCGGGCAGTTTCTTGGTCAGCTTATTCCTGACCGCCATGAATCCGAGACACGGGCCCCCAAAGCTCTTGGGTATTCCGAATGCCTGCCCCTCGCCAGTCACCATGTCCGCCCCTGCCTCCCCGGGAGGACGCATGATGGCCAGCGATGTGGGATCCGATATGCAGCTTATGAAGAGCGATCCGTTCCGGTGGGCCTTCTCTGCCATGTGTGTGGGATTCCTTATGGAACCGTCAAAGGCGGGCGTCTGCTGTATGACGCATGCCACATCGTCGTTTATGGCATCCGAAATGAAGATGTCGGTTCCCTCGCAGTATGTCCTGAGAACCTGAAGGTATGCGGGATTCAATCCCCCATCCACGAAAACGCCTCTTCTTTTTGTGTACGAGTGGGCCAAGAGCACGGCCTCTGCCAGGGCCGAGGCTCCGTCATAAAGTGACGCGTTGGAGACATCCATTCCGGTGAGCAGGCATATGTATGATTGGTATTCGTATAGCGCCTGCAGCACCCCCTGGCTTGCCTCTGCTTGGTACGGGGTGTATGAGGTGAGAAATTCCCCCCTCATAACTATGTGGCTTATGGCAGAGGGGATGTAGTGGTCGTACGAGCCGCCACCCGCGAAGCACTTGGTCTGTGTGTTCTTTGCGGCAAGCGACTCGATGTACGATACAATCTCCATCTCGCTCATGGACTTTCCAAGGTCGAGTCTTGCCGCTCTGGGAACCTGCCTTGGCACAAGCTCGTCGACCGTCCGGCAGCCTATTGCAGCGAGCATCTCCGAGATGTGCTCCCCTGTGTGTGGAATGTAGTTCATTTATTTCTCAGCGTTGCCAACCAATTCGTCGTACTGGTCCTCGGTGAGCATAGAGTCCAACTGGGCCCGATGCTCCGGTACCATCTTTACAATCCACCCGTCCTGATGCGGTGACTTGTTGATCAGTTCAGGCTGTGACAGCAGGCTCTCGTTGACATGGGTGACCCGCCCCATCCACCGGACTGTATACGTCCGTTGATGTCTTTACGGAGTCTATTATTGCCATGGCGTCATTCTGCCTGTAAGAGACCCCGACCTCGGGCAGTTCGACAGAGACCACATCGCCAAGCTGGTCCTGTGCAAATTCCGTAATTCCCACTATGATGCCGCCGTCTATTGTGTCCACCCATTCGTGTTCCTTGGTGTATCTCCTGGCCAATAGGGCAGATTTGGGCATCTTCTTTAAAAAGCTATTTTACATGTTGGCTGTGTCCTAGGGGTACGAGTTCACCTCAAATCTTTGGCCGCGAATCATCAGACAACCTGATACGGATCCGATACCCGGAACGTCACACCCGGTTGGACGGGTTGGAGTCGTGGACAAGAATCTTTGGCCGACGGATCGAGTGTGGCTAACCAGCTGACTTAAGGATCAGGATGTGCATGCCCCACCAGATCACGACAAATGATGGGACAAGCACACCGGCAACCGTTGGCAACGGGCAGATTTAAGGGTAAAGGCAAGGCGTTCTTCTCTTTCCGGTCAGCGGGGATCACCGTTCCGGGAGCGCGGCCATGACGGACCCGCGAACCGTCCGGTGCCCCTGCTGCGACGGCACCGGCAGGGCCGGAACCGAGACGGGCGGCCGTGGCCCGTCCAAGGAGGCCCTGCTGCGGGCGGAGCTGATCCGGGTATGGGACGTGGCAAGCTCGCTGGAGCGGTTTGCGGCAGGCGCGTACGAGACGGCCGGCGCGGCCATAGCGGGACTGGTCGCCGACCTGGAGGATGCCCGCAACGGGATCGCCGAGCGGGACAGGCGGATAGCCGACCTGGAGAGGCAGCTGGCCGTCCACGAGGGTTGGGGCAGGGACGGTACGGCGGACGGTTCTGGAGATGGGAGAGCCAAGCCGACGATGACCCGCGCCGATCACCGTCTGGCCTCGGCCAGGTTCGAGGCCGCCAAGGGCGGCGGCGACCCAGACGCGATCAGGAAGAGGAAGCTGGGAGCCCAACCCGGCCACCGGGGGTCGGCCCGGAGGGGCCCTGCCGACCGGACCGTCGAGTTCCGCCCGGAGCTGTGCGGGCTCTGCGGCAGGGCGGACCTGAAGATCGCCCGGACCGTCCGCAAGATGGTCGGCGACCTGGCCGAGGCCCGGCGGAGGACGGTCCTGACGATGTACGTGATCCGGATTGGAAGGTGCCCCGGGTGCGGCGCCCTGACCGCTCCGCACACCGACGCCATCTCCGGGACGTCCTTCGGGCCTCTCCTGCGCGCCACCCTGCAGGCCTTCGAGCGGGCCCACAACACCGAGGACGACATGCGGCTGATGCTCAGGGAGATCGAGGGCGCGTCATTCTCGATCGGCGCCATCTCCAACTGCATGACGGCAATGGCCGACCACATAGACGGGCCCGTCCTAGCCGTCCCCGACGAGGAGCCCATGGTGATGGACGGGGCCGGCCTGCGCGGGTACAGCTCGCCGGTGGAACCTCCCTCCAACATACCCGACACCGAGTACCGCCGCCAGGATGCGGCGCTCACCCGGCTCTCCAGCCTGTGGACATCGTTCATGCCCCAGCCGGCAAGCGTCCGTATCGTCGAGAGGGCGTCCATGGATCCGCACGTCCGCACCGACGAGACGGGCCACCAGGTGGGCCCCGACAGGGTGCAGGCGTCGGTCGCCGAGACGACACGCACCGCCCAGATCAGGGTCGTTCCCCACAGGGACGCGTCCACCCTGCAGGACATCTGGGGCTGGATGGAGGACCGCCCGGCCATGCGCGACGGCACCACCGGCTACGAGTGGCACATGGGGATCCTGTCCAGGTGCCTGATCCACCTGCTGCGCGACGCCGAGAGGTCCTCGATGGAGCACGATCTGGGCTCGCCCCAGTACGACCGCCACCAGATGCTGCGCGCCGTCTACCGCGACGCGAAGCTGGCCAGCAGGCAGGTGGAGCGGCTCGCCGGAGGGCCCGTCCGGTGCGCCAGCCATCTGGGCCTAGTCGACCGGGTGCCCGGCCTCACCGCGTTTGCAGACGGGCAGATCGGCAGGCTGGCCGGCCGCGTCAGGATGATCATAGAATCGTTCCCGGCAGACTCGGTAGCCACCACCATGTCCAATGCCGTCGGGAACATGTTCGCCGCCGTCCGGATCCCCGGGATGCCCCTACACAACAACGGCACCGAGCGGACCATCCGCGACATGCTGGTCGTCGACCGGCGGAGGGTCCGGTTCCCCGACTGGAGGGCCGCCCGCAACTTTTCGGTCCTTAGGACGTTTGCGGCCACCTGCGAGAAGAACGGGATATCAGCATACCAGGCCACCGCCAGGATGGCGCAGGATCCCGCCTGGGACATCTTTACCGACGGGATACCGCCGCCCATCCTCTCCTGCGGAGGCGCGACACCTGCGGACGACAGGGCAGCATCCGCGGCGCCCGCCCGAGTCCGGCCGCGCCTCCAACCCTGAATCAACCAAGACGGCGGACGGGCCGTTGCCGCACGGCCTGGATTATCGTCGATTTTGAATCGTAATATCCGATTAGATTAACTTTAGCGTGGCAATTTTCATAAAAAAAAATAACCAAAAGGATCTGCGTCACCGAAGGACTCCGTCACGCAGCTTGCATAAAAGCTGGCCAGCTGCGCGTTTACTACCAGGCCCCCACGCCCTGAAAAGCATCGGCGAGTACAAAAGCAGAAAAGCCGGGCGGCCTATTGCTGGCCGAATGACTTTGCCCTGGCAACTCTACCAGTCTGTAGCATGTCTCATGATCCACCTTTTGAGTATCCTCTACATCCATCCACGGGGCCATTGGTGGCAAACGCCAATGTCATTGATCTCCGGTGGCCGCATCTACCTTCTTACCTTCTCGCCTCCTCCTGCCTATTCCTCGGCTTTCCCACTTTCTTTCCTATCTCTTTCTCTCTTCGTCTGTTGTTCTTATCATGTGGTACTGTGGAGTGATCGTTGCCTTGTTCAGAATTCGTCATGTCGGATTTTGCTATTGGGCCGATCGTCTTGGCCACGAACCCTGCGTCAGCTTTTCCCTTTTCGCCCGACTGGTTCTGGCGCACTGCATCATACTCATACCAGACGCTACTCTCTGATATCGAGTTCACTGAAAAGAAACCCCCGTGTCATCGCTAGGAGTCAGGTTTTTTTTCCAGCCTGGATCCGACGGCGGATACGTTTTCTAGGCACAATTGATGATTCTAACGCAGGGATTCGTACCCGGTGAGGACTGTGTCACTGTATAGAGGGCCGCAAGATAAGCCGCGATTTGGAGCTGACGCACTGCGCGCCAGTGATTTACTTCTCGAATCGTTGGTGCCGGTCCTTGCGCCCTCCTCCCTCTCAGGTCAAACCAAGTTTCTGCTGTGGCAACGATACCAGATGCAATATCGAATTGCCACCAAACACACATGCAACCTAACCATCATGTAAAGCTCATCCATCTGTGCCCTTACCGCTTTGGTTGAAAAGTCTCAACGTCCAATTTGCCCTCACCCGTCTTGGACTGATAAGCACGAAACTACTCTCGTCGTTGGGGAGTGAACGTTAATAGCTTGGATTCCAGAGCGGACTGCGCCGGATTTCTTTCTCTCATGGCGAAGC